CGTACGTGCGTAAAAGTGGCTGGTGAAAGACTGCCGGAGAGCTAAGATCGATTCTTTTTGGAAGGCTAGACGTATATGTATGACGGCTTTCGAAAAATTACTCTCAGCAGAAAGCTTGTAATTTTGATGAAAATTGAAGCAAATTTTGACAAAAGTTTCTTCTGATGAATACTAGTCGCGACATAAAGTCCGTAGAATTTTTCGCGGCCCCCAAATTCCGTCGCGCTCCGAAATGTTGATTTGTCGCTGCGAAAAACGGGAATCGCGCGCGACAATAAGGCAAAATCAACAAAATTGCACAGTGCAAAATGTGTTTTCGGGTGAATGCACAGTGCAAAATGCTTTTTCGGGTTTATGCACAGTGCAGAAAATTCTACGGACTTTATGTCGCGACTAGTATCAAAAATGCAGCAAAATGCCTCGCTTTCTGACTAAGCTCCGTTTTAAAGGCGCTTTTGAAATCGGAGTTTTTTCACTTGGAAAGGGAAGCATTTTGCCGCATTTTGGATACTTCCCGGATGCAGAATGGTACGTTTTTTGCCACTGGATTAGGTCCCTACTGTATAAGTTTCTCCAAAAAAGATGGCAAGCATGTCTAGTGCAATGTATTTTTTTGATTTCTTCGGGAAAATAGTATTGTCGACCCCAGACTTTTAGCTTGGACTTTCTGGACACGAGCGAGATTCTAAGACCAAAGCAAGCTTTTTTGGCAAAGAAAGCAATGTCAGATTTGTCTCCCAGCTGTGTAATAGAACGTCTGTCAAAAAATATTTCGTACGGCCATATTATGTAACTATCATTTGCGTCAGTGATGACAATACATATGTATATGCACATAAGTTCCTCTTATGTTTTCTGGTAATATTTCTATAAACTTTTTTGAAAACACTCTGATGATTTTAAATTTTTTCATTCTTTCCCCTTCCGCTACAAACATCGCCAACATAGCGCGCATTTATTGAACTCTCAGCCCCATTGTTCCCCCAGCAACCTTCGCTCCACATGGTATTATTTTTCTCCCACTTGTTATTTTTACAATACCCGCAAACTACATTGTTCCTGACATCATTCCGCGATTTTTGTACCCACCGTAGCACTTCAATTACCTCCCCCTTGAAGCCGAATTCTGTTTACAGCGGCGGACGCCTCCACCTCGGCCAAACGCAGCTAATTTCGGCGCCCGAAAGTGTCGTAAATGTCGCGCCTTCCGCCCGTCCCAATTTATCTTTTGTTTCGTAATGCCGCACCCGGCCCTAGCATCAAGTTTTGCATCTTGTAAACAACTTCATAACACCTCTCTTTACGCCGCTTGCGTCGTATTTTGGCCCATTTCCGGCGGGGGAAATCAGCGCCGGAGGCTCCGCCCCTTCTCTCTACACCCGCACCTTTTTCGGGGCGAAGGGGGCGCTTACATCGGCGGAAATGGTAATACATACGAAGGGAGAAAGGGCGAGAGTTCTTCATTACTTTCTTTGGTGTTATTCGGGGCAGCAGTGGACAATAATAAGTTGAAAGAAAAGAAAAAGTTTTTGAAATTTCCCGCGGTTTTCATACACTCCTAATGGATGTGGAGGTGGTTTCGGACAATAGTATTATGAATTCCGACACACTATCGTATATTCAGAGAGTTTCTGATATAATAAAAGCTCTCGGAACGTCCTTTACCTCAAATAACTTGGTTATATTCACCATTATATAATATGTATTAAATCTTCTGTCTGCGCTAACTCAATTTTCGCTTTAAAAAGTAGACGTTAATTGCCGCAGGGGCGAAGGTGTATTTTCACCGGGAAATCGTTAATGCATTTACCTTGGTTTCCGGGTCATTATGGCCAGTTGTTCGGCCTTGTTGGGCCATTACACACGCTGACATAAGAACGTTGGGACCAAAACTTAACTTGATTTCTGAGCTGAAGTCTTAAAGTTTATTGCCTCAGCGTGTATTCCAGTTTTTTGTGTGTTACATCATAAAGGGTGCTACTATGCTTTCCGGTGTATTTGCTGTATTTATTTCGTGCTTTAATCAAATTACATCCACCCTTTGTTATTAGCAATTTCCGGACCTCACTTTTGGGTTGAATTTCGAACGTTCATTGCCTTAGGGAGATACTGATTTTTTGCTGCGACATGACCGCTAAGGCCTCTAGTGTAGTCTCGAAGTCATTTCGGATTGGGATGTTTTGCTCTACATCTGTTACATACACCTTTAATCCATTCAAATGTCATCTTGCTCGCTTCTCAAAAACACCGCTTATCCGCCCAATAAGGAGGAGGAAATTCCTTAATAACCTTGTTTACTGACCTTCTGACTTCTCAATTGTCGGCTTAGGCCCGCGTGCAAGAAAATCTCGGCTCCACCGGGCCACCCACTTCTTTCGCAATCAGATTAGCGCCCAACAATAATGAATGGATTTAATTGTGGAGGAAAGGGCACATTTATCGGATACGGGGTCATAGCCAAGTGCAAACAACAGTCTGGGAAGGTAGTGGCTTTACTTAAGCCCAGAATAACATGTTTTGGAAAGCAATACCAGGAATTTAATATTAATGTAGCCGGAGTGGAGGCCATTTTCCAACCGGAAACGGTGAATTGAAGGAATTTTGACGATGAATAACAGTCTGGGAAAGTGGTTTGGGGGGTTTTTTGTAGGTTTATGAGTAATTCAGAGGCTTTGTGTGAGAGAATAGACCACTTTATAGTCATTTTCTCAGCTTGTTTTGCAAAAATAATAATTTTTTTTTTCATTTATTTTATTCTCCTCTCTCATACAGTAATATTATGGCCCTGAATGGCGTGCAGAATCACTTGACCTTTTCCGTTCTTTGTCTCGGCAAAGAACGGAATTGGGCCATCCAAGGCTGGCCCCAACTTGTAATCCGCACACCCCTTCGACGTGCGGGATTAGCCCCGTTCTTCCGGACGACGCCCTAAGGCATTAATAGTCGGATTTCCTATTTTAGCCACCTTCCGGGCTTTATGTCGCGGCAAATCTTCAACAGCACACAAAGTCGCGTACTTGTCTAATCGGACCTTATTTTAGACACCTGTTGGCTCTTTTTTATCATTTTTTTTATCTATGTCTGCTTTTTGATGCAATTACGTATGGTCTGGAAGTGCTCGGACAAACTTTATGATCTCTGCTTTCTGATGTGCCACGCGTTTTTGCATCCTCTTGCTTATTAATCGCAAATTTCATGAGCCCTTGCGGGACACTTGTGAAATTCGAATCCCGAAAATTTGAGCCCCACTGATTCAATTATTTACAAACGGCGGACATTAGTCATTGGGCAGTTCTTCCGCTTTCTGGCCGGAAAGCCTTGACGTCACAGACAGGGGGGACAGGAGATCGTCGCCTTGATCTCTCAAAACCACTGACGACAGGGATTTGAGGGGTTTAAGACTTCGAATTAGTGGCTTATTCCTCAATGTTCTTTGCGTAAATGGGTCTATGATCTGTGATGATGGGATTGTGAAGTCAGAGGCTAAACGGATTGACGATTCATAGTGTTTTTTGGGCTCTCTTGTATACAATATATCATGATTATATAGTAGATGAAAAAGAAGCCAAATTGAAGTGTTTTCAGGCTATATCTTGTTGTTTTTGGTTGTAATAAACCTTTTTAATTACGTATTTTAGAAATGCGAAAAAATGATGGCGTCATTCATGATTTTTGATCATTTTATATTATACTTGTCATCAAATTCAAAATTTTTATTTTTTTCAAAAATTACGTTTTCTATTAGTCGTATTTACAGAACTGTTTGCTAACAACTTATCGTAACACTTTAAATACATCTTCTGCTTGCTTTTACAACACAAATTTCCGAACTTTTAGACCTGAAATCTTATCCTTTAGACCTGATGTCCCCTTAACTTTCCCTTAACTTCAACCTCCCCATAAGGCCTTCCGGTTGATCTACCGTACTCGCCCAGACATCATATAGCCTCCGTCTGCGGCGCTTCCGACCCGAAACGCGATCCCGCATGCAAATCTGCCTCAGAATGCGAAATTGGGCCGAAATTCGCCGGGATGAAATATCCACCCGCACTTTACTTGAAACCTGAACCAACAATCCCGTTTTCCAAACGTTTTTCGTTTGCGGTGGAGGGACTACAAAACACGTCCGGCTGCGTCACCCACAAAAATCCGAGGCGGGGGTTTCTTATTCATACTGTTCGGGAAAAAACATGGTCGGAGAGACCGCGGTTTCTCTCGATTCAGTTTATAAATGAGGCCAGATGTTTCGGGGATTGTGTGGATCGTCAACAGAAAGGTTAGCAGACCAATATTTCATCATTTTCGAGGATTACTGTAACTTTTTTAAATTTTTTTGGCATTTGATTGTCCAGTCTAATATACATGTGGTTAGCTTGGGAAATTGTGGGAATTTTGACTTTATTTCAATTGTGTATGGCCTATATTTTGTCTACGGGGCCAAGTAGTCCTACTTTCGCATTACTGTAATTTTGATTTTGCGTCCCACCACGAAAAAACCTGTTGCCAAAGTGGAAACATTTTTTCGTGGCATTCCGTTCAATCCGCGGATTTTTTGCATAAATTGCGTTGGAGGCGAATGCCCGGAGGTCAGAGCGATCAAATAGCGCCCTGATTAGCGGCCTACGCCCTTTATTTCCCAACACTGACCTTTGTGATCTTCGCCATCCCACTTTTGTTCCAAAATTCTGCCCCGAAGATTGCGAAATCGGCGCTTGATGAGGAAGTTCAATAAGTTCTATCCCCCTCGGTCCCACCCACACCCCACATCCACGCTGCATACCCAAGTGGGGACCAACTGCTTTTTGAACTGTTTTCCATCCGAAGTTTTTTTTTATTTCCTCTCGCCCATTTGCACCTTGCAAACGCCGCTGGTCGGGGCGTGTTCGCGGCGCTCGTGATAGCGTCAAATCGGCGGCCGATTGATGATCATGATCGACAGTGACGTTCTCCCTCTCATTTCAGGTGTTTTTGATTCAAAACAAATCTATTTTCCCGCTCCAATGAGCAAGTCGGATATGAGCATGGAGAATATCGTGCAGAAGACGCAGTTCGAGAGCACCAGACGCTGGAATATGATGATATTATTGTTCTACAAGACGGTGCCGCGCAACCAGAACCGGCATTATTGGAAAATCTATCCGAATTCGTTCACCGGAAGAGCTGCGGTCGACGCAATGTGCGATGTTTTGGCGGAGGTGTTCCCCAACAGACTGTCGGAAAGGTATGTCTAGACCACTTTTTCTCACTCATTCTTACCTTTTCTCACAATTTAGGCCTAATTTTCAACAATTTTTATATTACACTTGTCATCCGATATTGTTTTAGGTCGGTGGCCAACAAAGTGATGAACAAATTCTTTGCGCAAGGCATTGTAATTGGCGCCAACTCCAGTGTGCACATTTTCCGCGACGATAAGGATGTTTTCTACCGATTCGGCGACCTCGACAACACTGTGACGGATTCCATTGGCCTGCTCGATGTTCCCACCGTCCCCAGACGCTCCGTTTCCATGGATGAGACTAACAATGTGCTGCAGAAGCGACGTCTGGCCTGTGACTTCAGTGATGTGCTGTTTGATGAGCAAAAAGCGCAATCTTCTTGCGCTTCGTCAACCTCTTCCATTGATTGTACCCAGTATGAGGTTCCGATGTCCAAAAAAGATCGAAAAAAGGCTGTGAACGCTGCGTTATTGCGGTTCATCCAATGGGTCAACGACTCCTCGACGGTGTCTGAAATGGAAAGACAGAAATTGGTTCGAAAAGTAGGGCTTTGCGAAAAATTATATTGTTTTAGGTATCATTCATTGAAAATCAAAAAAAAATTAGTTTTAATGCGTTTTCCTTGATTCAAAATGCGCCTATATTGAAAGATTATATATTTTTTGAGCTAATGAATTCTATTTCAGTTCAAATCGCACTACCCTCGCATCTACAGCGAGTTTTTGGCGCGAAAGTCGACCGAAAAACTTTTCGAGCAAGTTCACTCCGAACGCAGCCAAGACGAAATGTCCGCCGATCACATTGATTTCGAGACCTCTTCCTACGACGGAACCGACTCGCAATACGCCTCGGCCTCCTCTTCGTCCACCTCATCCATCCAGCATGTGGATTCGGACCTTCTGGATCAGCGTCTCCTCGAAAAACTGAACCAAGTCTGTGAGGATCCCATCTACACGGACGAGGAGAAGAACAAGATCATCAGATATGTAAGTTTTTTTATTTTTCCATTACACTTCCGGATTTTGTTTGCTTTCGAGCCAGTTTTCCCGTTAATTCACCTAGTGCAATTGTAATATTTTCGTACTCCCACGGGAAGTTTTTATAAAAACAGCTGTAGAATCGCGTGTTCGGCATGAAAACAAGTTTGGGTTGGGAAAATAGCACAGGTCACAAAATTTACCATCAATTTTTGACAAGGATTACTTAAAAAGGAAAGTACTTCTATGGGGTATGGATTACAGGTCGTGATATACCAGAAAATTCGCAAAATTTTTCTGATTCAGAATATGTAAATGTTAGCTGCCTAATTTTGGTTTGTAAGGGTGAAAAAAATCCTCAGAACTTTTCTTGCAGCATCAAGCAAATGCCTTTTTGACCAAGTTTTTGCCAAATCAAAAGCTTTGTTTTGAGCTAAAGTACACCCTGACATCTTGACAAGCCTTATAACATCAAATTTGATTAATACTACATCTTGATTAGTAGGTCAAATATAAAAAATAAGGCTTGTCAAGATGCCAGGGTTTACTTTAGCTCAAACAAAGCTTTTGATTTGGTAAAAACTTGGTCAAAAAGGGATTTGCGTGGTATTGCGTGAAAAAAGAAAAGTTCTGAGGATTTTTTCACCCTTACAGACCAAAATTAGACAGCTAACTTTTACATATTCTGAATCAGAAAACTTTTTCGGTTTTTTGATGTATGTCTCGACCTGTAACTCCATACCCCATAGAAGTACTTTCCTTGTTAGGAAATCCTTGCCAAAAATTGATGGCGAATTTTGTGACCTGTCCTTTTCCCAGCCCAAAGTTGTTTTCACGCCAAACACGCGATTCTACAGCTGTTTTTATAAAAAAAATTTCCGTGGGAGTACGAAAAATATTACAATTCGGATTTTGCAAAGAATTGTAAGATCAGACGGATAGATTTGTCGGAGAAGGTAAAGCGATACCGTCCGAGTAGAGGAGGTTGACGTCAGCGGGTGTGCAAAAAAAAAACTCGTCCGCTTTTTTGTATTTGTTTGTGTCCTTGAACTTGCTCATGAATAAGATTGCACAGGTTTTTTGGGCGCAGATTCGTGTTTATTATGATGAAATGAAGGGTGGAGGAGGATGTGGGACGCAATAGCAAACTGATTAGCGGATGTTTACACCGAAAAATATGGGGGTTTTCCGGGAAAACTGGATTTTTCTGCTAATTTTGCTTATGTTTTGCATTTTTTGAATTTGCTTGACGAAAAATAATGTCGTTTGATTTCAGTACCGCCGATTCTACCCGCAAATTTACCATCAACGCTTCCCCGAGGAGAATCATCCATTGCTGAAGCGGCTACGCAACCTTTTCCCCAGGCTGAATGAGAAGTTGATGAGCTAAAAAAATTTCGAATTTTGGACCGGATATTACCACACTTACATATCAAAATTGGATCCGCTTTATAGCAGAAGCCATTCGACACGTGCTACAATGAAATTCAAGAATTTTTCGAGGGTTCCGAAGGGGCTTACCCGAAGGGGCTTACATGATGTATATAATGATTACCGCTTCTGACCCCAAGAATTGTCTATAGGACCGAAGATTATGGTGCCATTTGTTTGAGGGCTGTATTTCACACCATTCTCGCTTATTTGGGACCAGTTTTATTGGTCTCAACGTTGTTATTCTTCGTCTGTTATTCATCACTCGCTGGACGACGGGTCCAGCCATAACCCTGCTCAAAACACTGTTCAAACGATCTCCGCTTCCGTCTAGAATTTTGTCCATATCGCCTATTGTTACAATCTCGAGTCACTTGTTGTTATTTCGATGTATTCTTGTCTAATATTTATTCACAAGTAAATAATGATAATAAGTTTTGAGATTTGTGGTCCAAAATGTCTTATGAACATGGTATTTGAAGAGCGTGAGGTTTCATCGATGATTATAGGCTAGCTTGAGGCTGATTATTAATTGGACGACTCCGATAATGCCAGAGTTGCTAAAACATTTGCGATTTTTGGTGAGAAAAGTGGTGAATTTGGGAATGAATAATGTTAAAGGTCGGCTGGGCTATTGAAAGGTCGATAAGTCAGATGAATGATGTCGGAATGACATTTTGGTTGGGGAAGTTGTTTTTATAGAAAGGAATGGGAGATTTTTGAGGTAAAATACGGATTGCTCAATCTGTATGTACAGGGTGGTTCAGCTAAGTTCGCGGATGTAAATGCTTATAACTTTTTATAGGATTGTTCAATTTTTATGAGCAATAGCTCATTTTATTCCTTAGTAGTTACCATTTTGTTTTAAAAAAAGATCATTAAAAATGATCAATCCTACGTCGAGTTATAACCTTTCAAAGTCAAACTTGCCTTTTCACGCTTCAATCTGAAAATTTCCGAAAAATCTCGAAAATCGCTTATAACTTTCGACCGGTCGATAATTGTAAATTGTAAGTGGGCTTCAGAAGTCATAGAATTTTGCGTAGAATACGATGGAATCAAAAAAAAATCCGAAAATCCGAAAAAATCCGTAAATTTTTTAAAAATTTACGTGAAAAAGCATGTTTGACTTTGAAGGGTCATAACTCGACGTAGGACTGATCATTTTTAATGATCTTTTCTCTAAAGATCATTAAGGAATAAAATGAGCTATTGCTCATAAAAATTGAGCAATCCTATAAAAAGTTATAAGCATTTTACATCCGCGAACTTAGCTGAACCACCCTGTATAAGAAAAATTTGATGTAAAAATTTTCCGTAAAAATTCAAAATTTTTGTGCAGAAGTGAGAAGTTATTGAGAGAAACGGAACTGGGACGATTGGGGAAAAGACGGGATGGAGCGTTTTGTGCGAGAAAGCACGCGAAATGGGGAGAGTCGGTGAGATGAAAAGGGGTTTCCGTCCGGAGTTGGACGATTGGGGAAAAAGACGATTGGGGAAACCGAAAAGTATTATTTTTCTTCGATGCAAGTGTTGAAATTAGGATAATTGAGGGTGCCGATTTCGAAAATGACATTCATTTTTTTCTGATATTTACTTTTTTCCTTAAGTAGTACTGTAAAACAGTAATTTTTTGGATTTTTTATTAATGAATACTTGATTTGGGGGTTTTCAATGGTGCTGCTTTCAAATCAGAAAAAATGAGTAAGATTTTCGATATCAGCACCACCGAAAATCCCTAAATTGAGTATTTATGAAAAAAATCAAAAAATTACTACTTTACAGTACTACCTAAGGGAAAAAGTAAAGATCAGAAAAAATGAATGTCATTTTTGAAATCATCACCCTCGATTATCCTAATTTCGACACTTGCATCGAAGAAAAATAATACTTTTCGGTTTCCCCTATCGCCTTTTTCAAAATCATTCAACTCCGGACGGGAGCCCCTTTTCATCTCACCGACTCTCCCAATTTCTCTCGCTTTCTCGCAAAAAACGCTCCCAAATTTACCTGAATGTTCCATTCCGGCCACTTCCACCCTCTGGCCTTGAATTTCTTCTCATAAATCGTCAGCAGTTCGCTGGCCGCCAGATCCTGCTGCCCCCCGCGAATATCCACAAATCTGCAGACATCCCCGTTCGCGTAATGACAAGACATTGCGCGCCGAAAGCCCTTCGTTCTGTTGGCCCCGCTGCCATGCAGAAGATGGGGATGGAAGAAAACCGTGTCTCCTTTGTCCATCACGACATGGACTCGCTTGTCTTGATCAAATTCGTGGACGCCAAAAAAGGCTTTATTCACTCCACCCTCCCAACTTGGGTAGGTATGTGGAAGTAGCGGGAGTTTGTGGGTCCCCGGGATCACAACGAGGCAGCCGTTTTCGCGATTCACCGGCTCCAGCGCGGTCCAAGAACAGCAGATAAAGTCGGCTGGTCTGAAAAAGGCAGTTATTTGGTTTAGAGACATCTTTTTTCGACGGGAAAATCTGCTTGGGGGACCTGATCCAGTGGCAAAAAACGTACCATTTTGCATCCGAGAAGTATCAAAAATGTGGCAAAATACCTCCATTTCCAAGTGAAAAAACGACGATTTCAAAAGCGCGAAGTTTTTTCAGTTGGAGAGGGACGCATTTTGCCATATTTTTGATACTTCCTGGATACAAAATGGTACGTGCTTGCCACTGGATCAGGTCCCCCACTGTAGACGGAGAATCAAGATTCCGTTAAAAATTTTTGTACGGATTCTGACCTAGTCAAAAATAATTTACTTAAAATGATTTGAGTACGTATGCGAAGTTTCACGAAAATTGGAGTGTCACACCTTGAGAGATTTTCTTTGTCAAGTTGTGATAGGAAAGTAAGTGAAAATTTACATCTTCGTGTAAATTTTCAAAATCCACTTGACAAATTTTGACCTTTGCCCAATAACACCAATAAATCACTCTATAGCGTCATGTTTTTGTCCCTTGTTTACTGATGATTCACTGTTTGAAGGGCAAAGAGCGGGCCTTTACAAGTTAAACCCTCATTTTTTGTAGTCTTATAATCTTCCAAAGTTTTGAACTCGTTTTGTGATCGAAAGAAATGAAGAAACCTCTGTTTGAGTACCTTAAACTCACCTAAACGGAAAGTAGTACATATCCTGATGCATGGGATGTCGAGTCGACAATGATCCGTCATCTGACGGTTTATTGAGTAGCATCGCATTAATTGTTGACAATTTCCCCTTTGAAGGGCCAATTAGATCTTCAACAACTTCGACAATCCGAGGATGCTGACAGTAGCTGAACAGTCTTTTGTCAGCACTGAAATCCTGAACTTTTAGGATTGTCTTGACAGTTCTCTTTTGGCCTTTTTGAGCGACGTTCCGCATTACAGTCATTTCGGGATGAATGTTCTTTCCGTCAACGATTTCCTCGAAGCGGGCACTGAAAGAAGAAGGGTTAATTGAAATTTGGTTTAGATTTTTTGGTGACACCAAATGTGCCTCAATATTTTGCAAAAAATATACATAGTTAAAATTTTTCGTATATACAGTGAGGGACCTGATCCGGTGGCAAAAAACGTATCATTTTGCGTCCGGGAAGTATCAAAAATGTGGCGAAATGCCTCCTTTTTCAACTAAAAAACTCCGTTTTTGAAGGGCTTCCCTTACAAAAAGAGTGGGCGCACTTTTGAAATCGGAGTTTTTTCACTTGGAGAAGGAGGTATTTTGCTATATTTTTTGATACTTCCCGGATGCAAAATGATACGTTTTTGCCGCTGGATAAGGTCCGCCACTGTTCACTGTCGAAGGTAAAATAGTAAATAATTCCTGAAACTTTTAGCGTTGATTTTGCAAACGCAGCAGGGATGGCGTTTCTTGCGAGAGAACGCGTAATTCATGAGAGTCAGCTGGATGAAAAACGCTTTTTATCAATAGATATTCCACTAACGTTTGGAGAAACTTGATTTTTTTGTCAAAACATTGCGAACCTTACGTCCAATCCTTCCTAAAACTTGCAAAGCAAAAGTTTTAAAAATATTGAAAATGTCAAGCCTGCCAAATGTCATCAAAATGTATATAAAGATCTTCAACCACCATTCTATGCTTTCTAAAACTTACATATAATCATTGACTTCAAAGTCCGATATCAATCCCTTCACCACGATATAACCATTCTTTTCGTACGCCTCGATTTGATCTCTTGTGAGCACTCTTGAGGGTTGACTGTAATCTCGCTGAAATTATTAGTCGTTGAGCAAAAACAAGCCATAAAATTGGCTATAGTTAAGTATGTTGATTACCTTCAGAGCCTCTGTTCTCTCACGGTCCTCAATTATCATCTCCATGATACCGTTTTGTTCTCGGACTTCAACTACAGAATCGTATTTGTTAAAAGAATTTGTTTTCCTTTCCACCAAGTCACGTTTACTAATGGTAAACTGTTTCAGCACGCCATTTATAGTTACAGTACTGATGTTGTTGTAAAGTTGGGGTTTTTGCTAACCATTTATCATTGCTCTTAATGACCTCCATTAGGGAACTGCCATCACACAAGGTATTATATGTATTTCTTCGTAGAAATGGTAGAGACTTCAATTTCGAGGTGATCTTACACATCTTGCAAGTCAGTTACCGTTGAAAATGAGGACAATAGACCAAAGAAAAAGGTTAGTTGATGATACTGATCGACTACCAAGGGAAGTACACGTCAAAGAAAAAGTGAAAAAACAAGGAGCCTCGGATAATTGATTTTTGACGAAATGTCGCCGAATTATCGAGTCACAAAAGAAAACCTTCCCAGAGAATTTCGAGAAAAATGTTTTTTCGAAGAGGAAAATAATTTTTCAAGCTCCGTAATTCCGTGGCACTTCGCAAAAAATCAGTGATCCGAGATTCCTTGTTTTTTCAATTTTCTGAAAGAATTGTTTTGACGTGAAGTACCTCAAGTGCGACGCTCAGATTTTCTTTAAATTTTGCACGCACGTCGGTCATGAACCGAGTATCAATTCCTAAAAGTTTTAGCTCGCGCTTTGCAATGAAAGCCGAGATATTAAACGATCTTTGATGCCGAGAGAGCATGCTAACCGCGGAGAGCGGAAAAACACTTTTTGGCCATAATTTTGCCAGTTTCGTGCGGAAAGGATTTGATTTTTTGTGGAAACATTACCCTCTATGGTAGAAATAGGCATGAAACTTTTCGTGCCGAAATTCGGCAAAAAGTGTCAAATTGTCGTCAACTTTCGATCTAAATATCTCGGTTGTTTCCGCATAGCGCGAGCTAGGATTCTCACATATATTTTGGAAAAAAATATTTAAATTTGTGCCAATTTTCATTAAAATCTGAGCGTCGCACATGAGGTACATCCCTTGTAAATATTGGGGAAAAAAGTTAGAAAGGGAGAGAGATTTTGCTGCGAAAAATTCATTATTTTCCCGCCCCACTTATATTAGGCCTGGATCGGGTCTGAAATCATGCTAAAAATGAGCTGAGTTGTTTTTGGCCTACAAACATTGCAAAGACCCGCACACCGGAATTTTTGTTTTGATAAGAATTTTACACCATCAAGGTTCATTTTTGATGGATTACAACTGTATCTAACACGAGAAAGGGTCAAGAATCCTTGCAGAAACTAATTGCTTTTGTCGAATAAACTGATCTCTGATGCGTATAGGCTGTATTGATCAATTTTACTGCAATATTTTTTTTGTTTTACCGTGTGGTAAGCATTTCCAAAATGCCCGGAGATCAAACAGTGCGAATTTTCCGTTTCTGTTCCTTGAGATACGAATCGCTGAAACGAAACATGTGGTTGTAATGTAAAGGTTCGATTCTATTGACAAAAAACACTGTTGAACGATCCAATCAATCTCTATAAAAACACAGTTCGGGTAAAGTAAGGTCATAGGACGAAAAGTGGATTCATTTATCAGCCACGTTACAGTGAAGGCTCAGGGGTCAAGTGGGTGGCACTAGAACGTTTGCCAGTCCCTTGCAAGTCACTGCAAGGATTTTTGCGACAAGCACTGTGAGAAAACCAAAGTTCGCCTTGCACTGTGCGATGCGATTTGTTGCATGACAATTGAATTTTTGCTCATTTGGGGGTTATTTTTATTCTTGGGCAGGTTCAAAAAAAGTTCAAAATCTTGAGAAATTTGGATTTTTAGAGCTCTTGGAGAGCGATCAACCAACATTCCTCCGGAATAAAAATGCCTCCGAATGAGCGAAAATTCCATTTTCATGCAGATTTTGCACTAAATCTATGAGAAGATTGAGACGTCAAATTGGTCGCTGTAACTACGGGGCACGTCAAACTGAGGAGTCCGGTGACCGGAATAACTCTTCGCTATCGGTTTTTTGCATTTCGTCTGTTTCGCAGAGAAACAGAGAAAAAAAGACACGCAAAAACGTACTCTCTCGCCCCAAAAATTCCCCATTTCTTCCGCGATAAAACGTTTTTTCGCGTCTTTTTTTGGCAAATTGCCAATCCATTCACCGGACCGTTTTACTATAGCTTATCTCAGTTTGACGTGCGGGGTGTTTCAAGAAATATGACAGAAACTTTTTGCGAATACCTTTAGAAGAGCACGCCGTAAAATCCACGGAGGTGTAACGTGTACGTTGTATCCACCACGCAATTTTTAAAAAAGGCCCAAAATATTTCCGCCGAAAACTGACCTTCCGCCGACGGAAAAAATTTTTAGTGGAGACAAAATCGCCCAACTTCAATTTATAGAAACAAGAAGAATTTCCGCGATACCTCCCTAAGAACTCAAATATGTATATTCACAAAAAGTTTCTCTGATATTTCTTGAAACACCCTGTACGATGGCCGCATCCGTTCTATTCCCCCGCGGGGAACCTTTACCCAAAGCCTTATCTAAAACGTTCAAGGGCATTCTCATCCACCCTTATCTGTCCAATCAGCGAGAATCCGAATCATCAAAAAATCTGATAAATTCTATCGTACCCCAGCATCCCCAAACCCACGAAAATAATCCAATCAGACAAAAAAAAAGACAGATTTATACACATGCAGAAAGGTGGTTATCGTGCAGAGAACTCGAACACTCCTCAAGGATTGTACTCGATGGGGAGATTCTTTCTGCGGACCATACCGTCGCCTTGGAACCACTCACGGCGGAACTGCTTGGCGGCTCCATCGGGGGTGTTGGTCCATTCGATGGTGATACGGTCGTTGTTGGTGTCTTCCTGGCCGAAGTTGAAGGCGTCGCAGGAGACGGCAACCAAAACGGACTCCTTGGGGTCCAGGACACCACATGGGGGGTCAACACCGAGGCGCTTCATGTTGGTGGTCTTGAAGGCCCATCCGATACGGCGACCACCAGAGTTGATGACCTAGAAAAGTGGGGGTTTAGAAGGAAATGAAACCTAGGCCAGCGCGGTGAACAAACTTGCCCAGAAAAGCTAGGGCAAAAAAGCTAGTCGAAAAAAGCTAGCCCAAAAAAATACGCCAAAAAATCTAGGCTAAGGCAAAAAAACCCAGGCCAAAAAAGCGGGGCCAAAAAACCAGGCAAAAGAACTAGGCAAAGTCAAGGCCAAAAAGCTAGGCCAAAAACCAGGCCAAGAAAATCTAGGCCAAAAAAAGCAAAAACAAAAAAGTAGGCCAAAAAATATAGGCCAAAAAAGCTAGGCCAAAAAGCTAGCCAAAAAAAGCGAAACCAAAAAAAGCTAGACCAAAAAAGCTAGACCAAAAAAAGTTACGTCAAAAAACGGTGCTATTGAGAAAACCCACAAAAAGCTCTCATTTACCTTGATGTGGTAGGTGTGCTTGTCGTCATAGGGGGCGTTGAAGACGACCTTGGCGTTGGGCTGGGTGGTGATGTCACCTGGGGGAACGGATTGAGCCATCGCGAGAAAGGAGGACGAGGACGGACGAGCCGACTGATCTGAGGAAGCCCGGGAAGCCTCCGCTTTTTATACCGCGAGAACCTTGCATCCGCAATTTGAATAATATTTTAAAAAATGTGAAAATATGCGAAGAAAAGGCAAAAATTTGCGAAAAGTTATTCAAAAAGGAGCGGTTGGCTTCAAAAAATAAAATTTTTTAGTGCAAAAAATAAAAATTATGACCTTGGGATGCCTCAAAATTTTGTATACTATCGATCTATTACATTTATTTCGCAATTATTACATTATGTTTACATTATGGCATTTCTTGTCCGGTATGGCCAATATCGCTATAACTGCTCTTTAAGTCATCGGAATGGATTATCTTCGGCGGCAAAGGGTCTTCTTTGGCATCTGCCTTGTATAAATCGCTTCCCTTAGCATCAATCTAAAGTTACACCCATAAAAATACCAAAATTTATACTGCACGTCAAAAGTTTGGAACAGACTAGTTCTTCTTTGAGATGGGAGTTTCATTTCTTTTCTGTAGGGAGCTCCATGTACAATATTAAGAGCCTATACGGAGGCATATCCATGGAAATCAGAAAGTTCGTTAGAATTAAAAACAAACTTTTTAAATAGGTGCGTCAAAAGTTTGGAACAGCTTTCGGAAAGTGACTATAAGCTTCGGGATGGAGCCACGATATCCTCGCATTTAGCAAACATTTTTGGATGATGCAAGGATCATCTTTTCCTACCTGATTATTGAACTCTTTCCAGTAATCATAACCCTTGATATTCACATTCTTTGGTTGTAAGAAGACGAACGCAATTGCTACTCCGGCCAACATGCCCAATTCGACCAGCGAAATTACACTCATTCCAAGCCAAAGTCCCAGTTGGCCGCCGACGTCAGCTAGTGCGTCAGTCCACTAAAGAATTTATAGCCAATGAAAAGCACAGTGGGGGACCTGATCCGGTGGCAAAAAACGTCCATTTTGCATCCTGGAAGTATCAAAAATGTGGCAAAATACCTCCCGCTCTAACCGAAAAAGCTCCGTTTTGAAGGCGTTTTTGAAATCGGGGTTTTTCACTTGGAGAGGGAGGCATTTTGCCACATTTTTTGACGCTTCCCGGATGCAATATGGTACCTTTTTGCCACTGTATCAGGACCTCCAAAATGTAGCAAAATACCTCCCTCTCAAGTGAAAAAACTCCGATCAAAACGGGGTTTTTTCACTTGGAGAAAGAGTCATTTTGCCACATTTTTTGATGCTTCCCGGATGCAAAATGCCACGTTTTTTGCCACTGGATCGGGTCCTCACTGTATCAAAAAAAAGAGTTACAGAATAAGCCGATGCTTCCAAATTGCTTTGATAATACGGACGTTCGAAGTACAGCTCCAACATTATGGTGTTCTCCTTGTACCAAGCGATGCATTCATCAGACGTTGACCATAATGGAGAAGAAATTGATTGATTAGCACATTCTGGAGGCTAAAAATTCAATTAATTCTTAGGTGGGGATTTTATAACAGGCAATATGAAAGATATTTTTAAATGCGAAATTTTCAATTTCCCGCCATGTTTTGGCATTTTCTCAAAACACTGAAAAATAAGCTGATTGACTGGTCGAAATGCCCAGTATTTGGAGCCCAATATGATTAATTACCGGTCAGAAACTTACAATGTGACTTGGAGGCACCCACTTGGCTTGAGACATAGCGATCAGGTAAAATGATTGGCTAAAATTTTGTTTTTTTTTGACAAATTTATATACTCAATTAGGTGTAGATCGTATTGTAAATTTAATTTTGAAATCAAGAACTTACTCGCAATCGTATGGGCAATTGCATTGTTCAATGCTGAAGCTTTCGCTGTCCTCCAATGCGACGTTTATGATGGAGTCAGCGCAGTCCACTGAAAAAATGAATCTTATACAATGGCGGACCTGATTCAGTGGCAAAGAACGTAAGATTTTGCATCCGGGAAGCCTCAAAAACGTGGCAAAATACTTCTCTCTCCAAGTGAAGAAACTCACAAGGGAAGTCACTTAAATCACGGATCGATTTTGTAAAACGACTGTTACAGCGATGGGGAGGGTAGGACAGAGATATCAAATCTAAAAACCGCTACCTCCACCGGCCTCTGGGAGCCGAGATAATCGACCAAAAAGTTTGACCAAATTCTTCCGAACATTTCTTCCTTCCGAAAGAAGAGAACCCAGCGAACCGAATGGTTCGGTGGTCTGGAAGCGCGCTTCCGGGCCTTCATCTTTTCAGGTTCGAATCCGCGCGGGTCTCGAACTTGTGAAAAATTTATAAAGCAGTTGCTGTGATCCAGTAAATTTGCCAGAAATTTATTTTTAGATTTTTTGACTATTTCACGGTAAATTTTCAACCTTGAAAATTCAAATCGTTTCGAACGCGCATTTAAATTATTACTCTGAAATTTTGTCGTAAAATATGTAAAAAATCTAAAAATAAATTGCTAGCAAATTTACTGGATCACGGGAAAAGTTTAATAAATTATTTGACCCATGCGGATTCGAACCTGAAAAAGTCAAGGCCTGGAAGCGCGCTTCCAGACCACCGGACCATTCGGCTCTCTTCCCTCCTTCTTTCGGAAGAGAGGACTACTCGGGGAAGCCTTTTTTTAGTCAAACTTTTTGGTCGATTATCTCGGCTCCCAGAGGCCGGTGGAGGCAGCGGTTTTCAGATTTGACATCTCCGTCTTACCCTCCCCATCGCTGTAATAGTCGTTTTTAAAAATTGATCCGTGACTTAAGTGACTTCCCTTGTCAGATTTCAAAAGTGTGCCCGCTCTTTTTGTGAGACGCGCTCTTCAAAAAGAAGTTTTTTCGCTTGGAGAGGGAGGTATTTTGCCACATTTTTTGATACTTCCCGGATACAAAATGGTAGATTTTTGCCACTGGATCAAAAAATGGTCGATTTTCCGGTCGAAAAGCGGGAAAAAAATGCTTTTTTTGTGGTCGAAAAAAACCCCAAAAATTTGTCATATGTGCTTTACAAATGCAGTATTATGTGTAAGAGTAAGCAAATAAATTAAAAGATCAAAATTGTACCCACTTGCTGCATTCGTATCATTCATCTTGTAGCAAGACGGAACGCTGATATTCGGCGGGAAATTATATTGAGGGTCATAACATCCGCATGTGGCTGTGATATTATCTTGGATGCAACTTCGGAGACAAGCTTCTACCTAAAATCATTTTTTTTTCAGTAGAGGACCGGATCCAGTGGCAAAAAACGTACAATTTCGTATCCGGGAAGTATCAAAAATGTGGCAAAATGCCTCCCTCTCCAAGTGAAAAAACGTCGTTTTGAAGAGCGCGCCTTTTCCCTCACAAAAAGAGCTTACCTAAAGAGTTCTTGGCAGTTCTGGTCGCGCTTATGAAATCGGGGTCTTTCACTCGAAAATGGAGGTATTTTGCCACATTTTTTCATACTTCCGAAATGCAAAATGGAATGTTTTTTCCACTGGGTCAAGTCGGCCACTGTATTCTTCTTTATAAACTTTTCTTTTATTCAAAAGAGGGGTACAGTGCGGGACTTGATCTAATGGCAAAAAACGTCTCATTTTGCATCCCGGAAGGGACCAAAATGACTCCAAACCCTTCCGTTTTCTAAGCTAAAACACTCCGCTTTGAAAAACGCACCCTTTCCTTCAAGTTGAAAAGTTCTATAATACGACTATGTCATGTCATGTTAAACCGTCGAAATTTTTAGTTATGACAATGCTTACCGCATAAGCATTGTCATAGTAGTTTGAGGCGCCATTCCCATCATCGGAACAGTCCGAATATGGATGCGTTAGTTTGATTCGTTTCAGTCCTTTTATTCCCACCGAGGTGCATTTCCCGACCTGAGCAAAGTACCCAAAGGCATCTTGAAACGGAGTTTCATTCTAAAATTCAGCGATAAATACAGGTGCCTTACATCCGCCTGTCGGGAAAATAATAAATATTGATGGTTAAAAAACACGCTTACAGTTCCATGAACAAAATATATGATTCCAGCGGTTTGAATCCAAGGCAAGTACGCGGCTTGCGGAGACTTCAACGATATCCTCATACCGTTGTAGGGGCCGGCTCGTGATGTGAGCCAGGTCATGTTCGGATTTAGCATGTGACAAAGACCGTTGTAGGGGTCGTAGAAGGTGACTGTCTCGCTGAAAGTGAAGGGAATTTGTTGAGGAATGCAATGAAAATCTTTACTTGCTTTAGTTTGCAAGGCCTTTGGTTGTACTGGCAGTCGATCAGCATGTCATTCAGCCTGTAGCCGAGGTTGTGAGAACGCTAAATAAACGTTCTTTTTTTAAATTTCTACGAAGGCTTTACCTTCTGATCCAAGGCTTGCAAGTCTTCGAACATGAATCTAGTCCACCTGGTAGCCCGAAGCGATTCCGCCATGTCAAATGGGGCAGCAAATCCATATGTATCGTTGGAAGCTCCGGCTTCGTAGGCCTCTATCTGAAAACGGATCTAATTTTACAAAGCATGTGTCCATTTCAACATCAGCAGGCAAAATTTTTTTAATGTCAAGTGCAATATCGGGACAGTGTGGAAGCAGGTGGACTTTATGTGACCTTGTCATATACGATTTAAAAGCGCTTTATCTGAGCTTCAAATCCATATATACAGCATACTCTGTACTGCGTTTGAAAGCTTACAGGAATTCGTACAAGTCGACGACCCAAAAAAATCGCAAGACTTATGGGACACCCAAATAATAACACTTACCAATCCTTGCAACGGAGTCCCTGGAGCTCCACTCCTCTTCCAAGGGCTGCCATTGCAAATCGTAATAACTGGGAAGTCTTGCGGCGTTATGATACTCTAAACAACCCTTTCTTTAGAGACATCTTCTTACTCTTTGTGTCATCGTTACCGGATAACTAAAATACTTTCTGATTGAGTTCGCAACCAACATCACCAAAATAAATGTGGATACAATAACAACGACTATCCAGAAAGTCGCAGTTATAATATCGTCAGCCAAAGCGACATGAGGCAGTCCGTGGATTGAAGTCCATCTGCCAAAATCGTAGAGAACATGGTATAGGCCGCGCTGGAAAGTCTTGACCCTCATTACGGCTATATTTTAGTCTAAAGCAGCGATTGAACGGCCTGCGCCTTTAGCGATATAACCCGCTTCTTTTAGCCGTTCGTAAAATATTCTTCCATGTCTAATTTGTAATGAACCTCTATTGTTTATGATGAAAATGCTATGCCCTTGGAAGATAAATAATTTATTCACCCGGCCTTCTCATCAATTCTCCATTGTTGCTTTTCTGAACGCAATGAAACGCTCATCCTATCTCGGGAACAGAAAGTACAGAAAGTACATTTGAACGTAGGGAGCACAATTTGTAGGCTAGAGAATACTGTATCTAAACCGGAAATAGTGAGGTGAAGTGGACGTTGAACTCAACGCAAGGCTGTTATGAAGATTGGGGAAATGAATTCTGATAGAATTTATATACGATGGGCGACCTGATTTAGTGGAAAAAAACATTCCATTTTGCATCCGGAAGTATCAAAAATGTGGCAAAATGCTTCCTTCTCCAAGTGAAAATACTCCGATTTCAAAATTGCGCCCGCTCTTTTTGTGAGGAGCCCTTCAAAACAAAGTTTTGTTCGCTTGGTGAGGGAAGCATTTTGCCACATTTTTGATGCTTCCTGGATGTAAAATGGTACGTTTTTTGCCACCGGATCAGATCCCCCACTGTAGCAGACTTTCCCGTCGAAAAAAAAATGTCTCCAAACCAAATAACTGCCTTTTTCAGACCAGCCACATACCGAGTCGGAGCGAGCCTATAAAGTCTGAAATATAATAAATTGTGAAGCAGTTCTACATCTTCAGAGCCAAAGAATCATTGCACAATCGGGGAGGCCCGACTTTACATGTTCTCTGGCCTTCTTAGGCGTTCCCTTTGAAAGCCGCACGACCGTCAATAGAACAAGCATTGTCAAGCTACATGTTTTCGGATGTTTCATGTTGCATTTATTGGTATGGTTAGCCTAATAATCAAGATATTTTTTCACGCCAAATCTCTAAAAAAATCATCACAAAGCAGGGCAAACTTGAACACCACCATCCAAAGTTGCCTGCAAAAAGGCCGTTGCATCACAAGATGGTCTATGATTTAACGTTCTCTAATTTTAAATGTCGCTAATGCCACCGGGCTGGAATTTGTGATAAAAAGATAAGACAGTCAATGATACGATAAATTTGGCTTATCGACTCGAATTAAGCACCGAAAAAAGAGCGTATAAAAAGATTGTACGTCTGGTTTAATAAGGCGATGTTCCGAAAAGTAACTTACAGTTTTCTATTGGGTTGTTCAGAAAGTTCCGTCATTTTTCTTATTCTTTTGTTTTCCAGGAATTTGTTTGTTGTTTGGCAATGTGAATATACTTATTTGATACAGCTTTTTCTCCTCTACAAAACTGCGCTTTTGGTTTTTTTTGAAAATTTATTTTTTTATTATTTTTTGGGCTCAAAAGTGAACCATCTAGGAGGCAAAAATTTGCGTTTACAATACCTGCTTTTTTCGCTTTTCATCGAGGACAAAGGATGCTTGAAAATAATGCTACGGTTATCTTTTCTGCAGGGAAAATTTGAGATCGCCTTACTACGAAATATCCTTCAGAAATTTTCTTTTTTCAGCATTATAATCCTAGGTGTTAATTTGTAATATCACCCTAAAGAACTCTCTTGTTCTCCTGCAAATCACAATTTAAATTTCGGTAAAAATGGCATGAATCATCCTGCTATTCAAGTTTTAAAATGCTAAATCACTACCCGCCAATTTTTCAAGGCCCTTTCAAAAGATCAAAATTATTTTTTTTCAACGTCTTTTCCCAATTTTCCTTGCAAACTGAACCTCTTATCAGCGTATCGGGAGCAAGTTTTTATATGACAAGATGGCTTATCACACTATCAAATGAGACAAGAATTTGATAATTAGACATTTTTGCGATGGCGCAGGAAGTTCCAATTCTGTTTTGCAGGAAGTTCCAATTCTGTTTTATGCTTGTTGCTAAGGTTACAAGTCCATTTTATCGCATGCTGAAGGGTTAATACTGTGATGTTTTAGGGTCAGCTTGGGTATAATTAATTGGAAATTATGATGAGAACGGTGCTATGTGCATTGTTAGGCCTTGGAGTTGTTGCGGCGGTCCCGGATTACTTCGCAAATCGGGAGCTGTTGAAGGTTACAGGTGATGACTTTGATGGGAAACTGATATTTCTTCAAGCGGTAGGTAACTCGTTTTAAAGCATATACATGTAGCTATAACTCAGGGCTTTGAAATCTATGGTCTTGTTCTTATGTTTCATTAAAATCCCCAGAAATTTGGGTCGTTTATAAATTCCATTGCAAGGAACTGTCATTGCAAAGGCGGTCATTTCTCAGCTTTGATTACAAGTTCAGTTATGTATAAAAGTTGTTAAAAGTGATATGGCTGGAAAGATCTCTCTTTGCTCTATAAGCACTGTAAATTTCACGGGTCAATCTTATAGCATGCACCCGTGAGGCCCGCGTAAATTTCGGCTACTAAAAGAATTCGAAAAAATCAGGTGTCCGATTCATTCCAAAAAAGTGCAGAACGCTGTGCATTGAGCTTTCAGAAACCTTTACAAGGCCAAAGCTTGCTTGGGGCACGGAAATTTTTCTTTTTTTTAAACCTGGCAGGTCTGCAGCGATAATATCTTTACTAAATTCTCCAGCAAAAATGGCCAATAAAGCAGTCCTACCTAGACATGGCCCTTCGGCCTGAAGGGTTCCGGCCGGCCCGGCCCGTTTCAAATTTTCCGTCGGCCCGACCCGTTTTAAATTTGCTTTGGCCCGGGCCGGCCCATTGAAACGAAAGTCTCCCCAAGTCTAACTCCTTATGACCAAATTTTTTTCTACCATCATGTAAATGGATAAATACTGTGTTCTATAGCTATCTAAAATCGGGCCGGGCCGGGAGCCATGTCTAGTCCTACCTTCTAAATTTTAGCTCTGGAGACATGGCGACCGAACACCAACTCAACAATTCCCCACCGACAAAAATGTCTGGCCACAAGGACTGGGACAGCTTACCGTGGTGAGCTTTTTTTAAAAGAGCTTAGTTCTCCAATAGAACCCTTTTTTCGTCATAATTCCGCCCGTACTTTACCCCCGCCTTTAGACCGGTATGAAAGATCATCTAATCCTCGGCGAAAAGCTACGTCAACGTTACGTAAATACCGTCCCATTCGTCTCTAAACGCTATGTCAGCAGCGAGATCTACGTCCACAGCACCGATGTTAACAGGACTTTGACCAGCGCCATTTCAAATATGATAGGATTTTATCGGGATGCCGAGGCTGAGAAGGATTTTCCATCTGATTCAAGATGGCCTCAAGGATTTGTGCCGGTGCCAGTCCACACCGAAGACTTTCATCGTGACTTTGTAAGGAGAGCTGGATCTTACAACTAGATCAGCTTGGCGTACAGGCTATTTGGTTGTCGATTCTCTATTAATTATGCGTTATTTTAGATGGGCAATGTTGACCGTCCATGTCCTCGAACCAAGGCTTTGCTCAACTTGCTCAGGGAGTCTCCTCAATACAAGAAATTGGTCGAAGAACATGCAGTAAGAACAAACAGTGGCGGACCTGACCCATTGGCAAAAAACGCACTTTTTTTGGATCCGGGAAGCCTCAAAAATGTAGCAAAATACCTCCCTTTCCATGTGAAAAAACTCCAATTTCAAAAGCGCTCTTTTTATGAGGGAAAAGGCTCCATTTCAAAATGGAGTTCTTTTGATTGTAGTGGGAGGTATTTTGCCACATTTTTGATACTTCCCGGATGCAAAATTATACGTTCTTTGCCAATGCATCAGGTCCCTCACAGTCTACTATATTTTGTAAAAATTGCAGGACTTTCTCGCTAATTTGACTGTGATTTCCGGGATGAAAGTGACGCTTGAAAATTTGTATGTCTTGAACGATGACTTGTTTATCACCAGGGTGAGTAAAAGAACAAGATTTCAATTATTCTTTCTGGCCTCCGTATGTCACCAAATTTCAGAAATACAAATTGCCTCTTCCCGAAGGATTCACCGACGAGGTCTGCGAGCAGATCAAAGAAATCAGCGACGTGCTCGACAACGCGGTATATGGCATTGGGTTTGCGCCTTATAAGGACGTCGATCTAAGTTTGGAAATGGCCAAAGTTAAAGGAGGTCCTCTGTTGTGGGGAATGATTGAAAGAATGCAGCAGAAGGTTTTGTGTGCAACGAAAAACGCTAAAGACAGAACAAAAGAGGAGAATGGCATTTGCCGTTGGATTGAGCCGATGAAATATCATGTCTACTCTGCTGTAAGCTATCGTTGGAAATTCTGTGCCTATTATACATAGACTAACACCTTCTGGAACCTCAGTATTCTCAATTTCAGCCGTTTCCGATCCCCTAGTTATATAGTAATGGTCGATTACTGTAAAAACATTAATTTGTAAATTACAGTAGGTTAATGAGAGAGTTGGACAAAAATATTTTGGCCATATGTTTGTAGGATGCCTCTAGTCATTTTGAGGTCAAAAACTCAAAATCCATTTTTTCTATGTCCACGTAAATATTAATAGAAAAAAATGATTCAGTGACTCAGAAATCGTGTTTGAATAACTTCTACATTTTTAGCACGACACAACCTTGTCCGGTCTTTTCTCGACTTTCGGATTCAATCAGACCAATTACAATCAGTCAGGATTTCCGGATTATGCATCTGCGGTTACGTTGGAGCTAAGGGAAAAGGATGGCAAGCATTTTGTCAAGGTAAGCCGATTTTCGATAGAGAAATGTGCTATCTTGCACTGAGCATTCCTTCTTTTTTGGTTTCGCACCATATCGTCGCGACGCAAGCTTTCTCAAACTGAGTTGCCGCGTTCCGCCCAAATTTTACATTACAAAGGGAACACGACCGTTTTATTGCGGAGCATACTTTGTGTTTTGGATGTGGATGAAAATAGCGTATTCAAAGAGCCAAAAGCTTGATATATCTTGAATTTCATCGATTTTTAATATTAGGTCGTCCAGAAAGTTCGTTCGTTTTTTTCATAGCTTTGTTTTGAAAGTTCGTTCGTTTTTTTTCATTGCTTTGTCTTACGAGGATTGTTTGTTGTTTGGCAAAGGTTATATATTTATTTGATACAGCCAGTTTTGTAGAGGAGAAAAACTTATTATTTGAAACTTTTTTGGGAGAAAAGTAAGGTTTTCCTCGAAAAAGACTCCGAGTTGAAAGAGACCCCGGAATCGGAGGTCTCTTTCGATGTTTCCCCGAAATGGCCGAAAAGGTCAAAAACGGGGTAATCGATGGCGTAGATTCCAAAAATCATATTCGTTTTTCGCGATTCTTACTTTTTTGCTTAAGTAGTAATGGTAAAAAGTAATTTTTTGAATTTTTTCTAAAAACAGTCGATTTAGGGGTTTTCGAGGGTAAAAAAGTAACTATCAAAAAAATGAACGTCATTTTCGAAATCAGCACCTGATTATTACTGATTATGAAGTCTAATCCAACCTATGCGATAAAAAGTCATCCTTTTCCAGGTGCTCTTCTGGCCTCCAAACGACGGAGAGAACTTCCAAGACATCACCGCGGAAGTTCGTGGCTGTTCTGAGAACTGCTCTCTTGATGAGTTTATCAAACGTTCGCAACCTTACCGTATCGAGGACCCTAGTGAAGTGAGTTTAGATTTAAAGCTGACAAAACATTATGTCTTAAAGAGTAATCATTATGAACAAGTTTTAGCTCTGCCAAAACGACCAACTCACACGATCTGCAGCTGCAGCTTCAATCAGCATGCTTTTGATGCTGATTTCAGCGGCATTATCGTATCTAAAGTAATTGTAAATCAATTTTTGTTATTGCGAAAATATAGTTATAAGAATATGTAGTTAATAATAAATAAAAAACGTGTGTTTATATAATAAACTCCCATTAAACCATACCATAAAATGGATAAAGACAAAGATTAACTGATCTGAACCGCTGATTTCTCTTCTCTCTGATCTCTTTTTGTTGTAAAGATCGTTTTACGATGCTCATTAGCATATAAAATGATTGTAATGACGTTGTGCAATATAAATTTTGTAATGATAGTTATTTGTTCAGCTGCAGGTTTAACCGAGTTTTTAGTCTTCGCTTTTTACAAGGCAAATTTTTGTTTTTTCAAGTTTTTATTTCTTCTTGAAATTTTGCGATATTCAGAAACATCTTAGCGAAAGATCATGCTAAATGAGGAGGTCTGCCATGCAAAGAAGGGGTCTTTTCATATGTTAATATTTGCTTTTCTGGTACTTTTTCAAAGCGTTCAAGGCTGAGTAGCTGAGCCTATTTCCGAAGCAAGCTCAAGTCTTGTATACTTCCTTATAAAAAGTAATGCTCTAAATCTGAGACAAATTTTGCCCAATTCTGTTAGCCACGTGTCAAAAATTTTACTTTTTTTTGTTTGTAGAATGTCCTCGCTCATACCTCAAAAATATCACTCTTATATAAAGTTCTACTTGCTTTAATTTTCTTCGATTTTTGCCTGAATGTTCTATGTTGACCCCAGTTCATAAAATTCTAACTATTGGTCTTGCAGGCACAGCTGAGATATTATTTATATACACTACAGTGACGGACTAAAAAACGTTCCATTTTACATCCGGGATACTATCAAAAATGTGGCAAAGTGCCTCCCTTTCCAAGTGAAAGAACCTTGTTTTGACCGGTTCCTCACTGGCGCCTTTTGAAATCTAAGTTTTTCTTTTAGAGAAGGAGAACTTGTGCATCCAGGAAGCATCAAAAATCCTGCAAAATGCCTCCATCTCCAAGTGAAAAAACTCCGTTTTCAAAAGTGTGCCCGTTATTTCTGTGTTGTAAAACGCGCGGTCTTCAAAAAGGAGTTTTTTTGCTTGGAGGGGGAGGTATAATATTTTGCCACATTTTTGAAACTTCCCGGATACAAAATGATACGTTTTTTGCCACTGGATCAGGTCCCCCACTGCATGCATCTCGTATGAAAAAAAGTACCAGTTTGCATCCGGGAAGTATAATACAAAAAACGTGACAAAATACCTCCCTCTTCAAGCAAAAAAAACTCCGATTTCAAAAGCGCGCCCTTCAAAACGGAGTTTTTTAGTTAGAGAGGGAGGCGTTTTGCCACATCTTTGATACTTCCCGGATGCAAAATAGTACGTTCTTTGCCACTGTAGGCAACTTTTTGGGGATTTTGAGACTATAAAGATCCAGAGGACAGTATTTCTTTGCTTCATTTTTTTCTCTCCTCCAACTACAGAGGACCTGATCCAGTGGCAAAAAAATACCATTTTGCATCCGGAAAGTATCAAAAAATGTGACAAAATGCCTCCCTCTCTAACCGAAAAAACTGCCTTTTGAAGGGCGCGCTTTTGAAATCGGAGTTTTTTCATTTGGAGAGGGCGGTATTTTGCTACATTTTCCCCTTGTGCCTCACAAAAAACCCGCTTTTGAAATCGGAGTTTTTTTCACTTGGAAAGGGAGGCATTTTGCCTCATTTTTTGACGCTTCCCGGATGCAAAATGGTACCTTTTTTGCCACTGGATCAGGTTCGTCACTGTATCTTATTTATTTTTAAAACCCCACCCAAAATCGTCACCACACTTCACCTTCCTGCAAGTCCGTTTTGAGTGCACAGTGCGTTCGTTTGAGGACGCACAAAGCCCACAAAATTGGCCATTATACTGAACAACAAGGGCTGGTTGGAAAGCGCTAATCTTCTTATTTATTTTTGCGATCATTTACCTCACAAAGGGAGCACGACCGTTTTATAGCGGAGCATACTTTGTATTTCGGATGTGGATGAAAATAACGTATTCAAATCGCCAAAACTTTGAAATATTTTGAATTTCATCGATATTTAATATAATTTTGACTCATTTTTTGAAACTTTTTTTTGGGATAAAAGTCACCAAAAAACAGCTATAAACAGCTGTATACACCGAATTGACTTTATTATTACTGTTATTGGGTTGAACTTTTCTCGACTTTTCACTCTTCTTGCGGGCGATTTTGAACCCAACAGTTGCGTTTGCTTCTGCCTTTGTTCATAAAGTTTCCATGATCGTTTTTGTTACGTGTACAGATCAATCATTTTTTTGTCAAGTTTGCCTAATGTTGACATGTTTTTTTTTTGTGTGGATTAACTTCGAAACTGCACATTTATGGCGTCATTTGTAATTCATAATGCGATTGGAATTTTTGTGCAAAGCTTTTTTGTGGATAGTCAACTGATTTTCAGGAGGTTTGAGGATAAAAGCCATGGGTTTTTTGATGTGTTGCAAGTTGCAATTGTCAGCGGAACGGAGTTGGACGATTGGGGAAACCGAAAATTATTATTTTTCTTCAATGCATGTGTCGAAATTTATAATCGAGGGCGCTGATTTCGAAAATGAAATTTATTTTTTTTTTGATAGCAGCTTTTTTCTTACGATGAATCAAAAGTAGCTATATTTTCACCTCATAGTACATAATATCAGATAGGGACTATTTAGTACTAGAGGAAGTTAACAGAATTTTCGAGACCAGCACCTTCGACAACCCCTAAATGCAGTACTTTTCGAAAATTTTCAAAAAATTACTGGTTAACAGTACTACTTAAGAAAAAAGTAACAACGAGAAAAAAATGAACATAATTTTCGAAATCAGCACCCTTGATTATACTATGTAATTTCGACACTTTTTGATTTTTTTTTCATAAATACTCGATTTTGGGGCTTTCGAGGGCGCTGATTTCGAAAATGATGTTCATTTTTTCGGATCTTTACTAGTTTTCCTTAAGTAGTAGTGTTAAAGAGTAACTTTTTGAAAATTTTCAAAAAATATTGGATATAGGGGTTTTTGAGGGCACTGATTTCGAAAATCATGTTCATTTTTTCTAGTTGTCGCTTTTTTTTAAGTAGTACCGTTAAGTAGTAATTTTTTGAAAATTTTCCAATAATACTGGATTTAGGGTTTTCGAAGGTGCTGGTACTACATAGTATCATACAGCACTACTTAGTACTAGAGGAAAAGTTAACATGATTTTCGAAACCAGCACCTTCGAAAACCCCTAAATCATGTATTTTTGGAAAATTTTCAAAACATTACTACTTTACAGTACTACTTAAGGAAAAAAGTAAGAATCAAAAAAATGAATGTCATTTTCGAAATCATCACCCTTGATTATCCTTATTTCGACACTTGCTTCGAAGAAAAACAATATTTTTCGGTTTCCCCAATTGTCCCAGTTCCCAACGGAACTGTTCAAAGTGCAACGCTCAGAACTTAATCAAAAATGGCAAAATTTGAAAAAGTTTTTTTGTACGAATACCGGATTCATAGCTTGAATTTTGTTTATTATTTTGAATATTTTTATCAAGATAACATTAAGAACGCTGGCGAATTATTCGACTCGTTTCTGCGTCAAATATTTTTTTTTCGGTTTTCAAAAATCCCTTTCATTTCCACGCGATTTCAACTTTTTTTGTTTATTCTTCCCAATTGTTTTTAGCGGGAGCGGTGATGTTTGCATTTTATCTGCTGTACATATCTCTCGTAAATGCCAATGCAGTGATTCCCTCAGTTTTCCGTAACCGCCTTCTTCGAAGTGTTAATCAGCATGGACATGGAGAGCTTGTTTTTGCGCATGCCGTAAGTATTTTTTTTTAAATCTTTTTTGGGAAAACAGAATTAAAAAAAAAGACTTTTCGGAAAGCAGAATTAAAAAAATTTTTTTTTGGGAAAGCAGAATTAAAAAAATTTTTTTTTGGAAGAGCAGAATTAAAAAAAATTTTTTGGGAAAGCAGAATTTAAAAAAAAAATGTTTTGGAAAACAGAATTTAAAAAAAAATTTTTTTTGGGAAAGCATAATTTTTTAACTGAAATTATGTATTTAAAACACGTTTTTTCTAAGCTTGGAGAGCCCTGGCTACACGAAAAATCAAACTGCTTCATTTTTCTTTAAACTTGGAAAACTGTAGCTACGTACCATTCTAAGAAACTTTCCCGTTAACTTTTTTTCGAAATCTTACTGTACTTTGGGTTACGGTAACATGACTCATTTTGTCATAACTCGGGAACCAGATGTCGTAGCGAGACGGGGTCTTTACCAGTGTGTTCAGCGTGCCGAAAGATGGCTTTTTGTTAGCTACACCAAGTTTCTAGGACCCCGGGAAGTGGCAAAAAAATTTGAATATTTATGCAAAAATTCAAAAATATGCAAATTTCTCGAAAATTTAACCAAAATTATGCTCATTTTTATTTCATATTTTGAAAGTAGAGGACATAGCGGTTTCAATGGTGTAAAAAACTTGAACGTGCGAACCGAGCTGTCTGAGAACGGGCTGTTTGAAGTTGGGGCACCCAGTCATGAATGAGCAAAAAATCGGGGTAAACTGTATAAAATCATTGTTAAACGGCAAGAATGGAAAGTAAATTTTGTTATTACATTGTATCGGTCACAATAGAAGATTTTCCACATAATTTTCATAAATTTGCATATTTTGGAATTTCTTGCATTTACGGGTGCATCAGCCGCCAGATAGGCGTGGACATGGCAAAAATCGGTTTTGAGTTTTTTACATTAAAATGACTGTTGGAAGGTATTAAGCAAAAGCGAACAATATTTTTTCCCAAATCCTTCATTAAGGTATATTTTTACAACATTTTGACAATAAATGCAAGTAATTCCAAAATATGCAAATTTACGAAAATTATGTGGGAAATCCTCTATTGTGACCGATACGATGTAATAACAAAATTTACTTTCCATTCTTGCCGTTTAACAACGATTTTATGCGGTTTACTCCGATTTTTTGCTCATTCGTGACTGGGTGCCCCAACTTCAAACAGCCCGTTCTCAGACAGCTCGGTTCGCACGTTCAAGTTTTTTACACTGCTGAAACCGCTATGACCTCTACTTTCAAAATATGAAATAAAAATGAGCATAATTTTGGTTAAATTTTCGAGAAATTTGCATATTTTTGAATTTTTGCATAAATATTCAAATTTTTTTGCCACTTCCCGGGGTCCTAGAAACTTGGTGTAGCTAACAAAAAGCCATCTTTCGGCACGCTGAACACACTGGTAAAGATCCCGTCTCGCTACGACATCTGGTTCCCGAGTTATGACAAAATGAGTCATGTTACCGTAACCCAAAGTACAGTAAGATTTCGAAAAAAAGTTAACGGGAAAGTTTCTTAGAATGGCACGTAGCTACAGTTTTCCAAGTTTAAAGAAAATTGGAGCAGTTTTATTTTTCGTGTAGCCAGGGTTGTTGACCTGCGCTCGACTTTTAGAAAAATCGTGTTTTAAAAAAAAAATTTTTTTGACATTGCATTTTCAGGTCTGGCGACACGGCGACCGAATGCCCGACCGAGATATGCCCAAATTTGGAGTGAAATGGCCGCTTCCCACCGGAGAAATGAGTGTGGTAAGCAAAATGGGGAAAAGTTCCTTATTCTGGCCACAACAAAGGTATTCTGCGAACTGCGCCCAAGCTTGGTAACTAAAGTTAGGAAAAAAAATCGACCTAACTGGCACTGAATTACTATAATAGCAAGTTTTAAGTGTATCTACGAAGGCGATGACGACTCATTTAGTTCTATACGGAGGCAATAAGTTTAGTTCCGGACATGTTTCATCGTATAAAGTGTGAAATCGCAGGCTGCAGACGCTTTTGAAGGGTAAGATGGTACGTAAAAAGAAGGTAACTCACTAACTAAATCCACTGTCCGGGCATTGACAACGATGAATTGAGCCTGCACGCGAAATTTGGGCTAATTCCGACCAGTTTCCGCAAAGTTATAAGTTGTGGCCAGAATAAGGAACCCGTTTTTCTATGAAAAAAGCCTAAATAAATAGTGTAAAAAAGGGCCTCAAAGTTAGCTAAAATCCATACGAACTGGCTTTACTGTACCATACGAAGCCGGTTTCGACAAAAAAACCAAAAAAAAACTTACCAATAATTTTGTGACATTTCGTCGAAAAATCGATAATATTGGTTATCCATCTCAGATCTCATCAACTACAATGTAAATTGTTTCAGCTAGGAATGGAACAGCAGTTCAAACTCGGAGAGAAGCTACGAACTCGGTATGTGGAAACCGAGAAGTTGATCAGCCCGTATTTCAACAGTGAAGAGGTGAGGAATGAGAAGGGATTTTCTTGAAGTGTAAAGCCTTGATTTAGCAGGAAATTATACAGGTAGCATTAGGATAGAACGAGTATTGATTTGTGAAAAGTTTTAGCTTTTGAACAGCAGAGGTGACTGTGATATTTAATCGCCTTTTTTCTTTTTCGAAACAAAAAGGGAGAGTAGGTCAGACGAAAACTACATACATGTTTTTGGCTACAACTTTTCAAAGGTTACAGTGGCGGACCTGATCCAGCGGCAAAAAACGTACCGTTTTGCATTCGGGAGGTATGAAAAAATGTGGCAAAATACCTCGCTCTCCAAGCGAAAAAACTCAGATTTCAAAAGCGCGCCAGCTCTTTTTGCCTTGAGGGAAAGGGAGGAGAGCCATTTTTCATGGGAACTATCAAAAATGTGGCAAAATCCTTCCATCTCCAAATGAAAAAACTCTGATTTCAAAAGCGCTCGCCCTTCAAAACGAAGTTTTCTCACTTGGAGAGGGAAGCATTTTGCCACATTTTTGATACTTCCCGGATGCAAAATGGCACTTTTTTTGTCACTGGATCGCTATACTTGAAAAATTTTGATATTTTGAAGAAATATTTTTCATTCCAATTAAAAAAGCCCACCAAATTTTTTAATCATAAATCAAAAAAAAATTCCTCTACTTTTGGCCTGAAATTTGCGATTATTTCTGTAGAAGTGGAGTTAAAATTTTAGCGAATGTCTTGGATAATAAAATTTTCAATTTGTGCCAAGTTCTGGCGGAATCGAAAAATCAGAATTGTGCTTCGTTTGGATAGAAAAAAAGCAATTTTTTGTTGTGATTTTAGTTTTTTTAGTAGGGGAAATGACGCTAATTTGATGCAATTTGAGGCAAACGTTAGACTGAAAAAATCGGTCGAATAAACAACCCCATTTTTTAGATCTATGTCCGCAGTACGGACAAGAACAGAACCCTCCAAAGTGCGAGCATCACAATGATGGGAATGTACGGTCCGAATGTGAGGAAAGGAACGGACGTCCCCGATTATTCCCCCTGGCCGGCTGGATTTGTCGCCATCCCAGTCCACACTGTCGAATATTCTACTGATTATGTGGGTAAAATTTACTTTCAAAATTGATATTTCGGAGTTTGAAAATCTTTTGGGTCCATAAAAAATTTCACTCTAAAAATTTTTTATTTAGGTGGCAAATGTGAATCGAAAATGCCCAAGGCTCCGAAAACTGCTGCGAACGATTTATTACGAAACGCCGGAGGGCAGGAATATCAGCATGGTAAGTGAGGGTAAAAATTTTCCAAAAAATGATGATTTTTCAAAATTCTTAAATTTTCGATAAAAACAAGGTCATTTCGCTCTTTGAAACTTCTGAAAATCCCTCTAAAATCTCGAATTGACCTCATAAAATCATTTGTTTCAGGATCCAGAAAACAAAATTTTATTCCAATACCTCAGTGAGCAAAGTGGAAAGCCCATCGACATGTTCAATTTTTGGTCGATAAATGACTATGCGATGGTTTCAAGGGCAAGTTTTTGGTCTCTTTTTTCTCCACGTACAACTAGAAGCTCTAAAATTTCGGTTTTTAGATCCACAATGTCTCCCTGTCTATTACGGAGGACTCTTTGTTCGAGCAAATCCAACGAATCGACGACCGAATCGACCGGCTTCAATTCGGCATCGGCTTGCAGCCCTTCAAAGGAGTCGATCTCAAATTGGACATGGCCAAAGTTAGAGGGTCGCCGATGTTGTTTGAGATACTGGAGAGGATGAATCGCAAGGTGTTTTGTAGAGAGACGGAAAAGGAAAAAATGTCGGACGAGCAGAAGGACATGTGCAAACGAATGGACAAGCTGAAGTTTTATGCTTATTCTGCGGTGAGTTTGAGATTCGAATGGGGTTTTTATAAGGGTAAAATTGGAGGACCTGATCCAGTGGCAAAAAAAGTACCATTTTGCATCCGGGAGTATCAAAAAATGTGGCAAAATACCTCCCTCTCCATGTGAAAAAACTCCAATTTCAAAACGGAGTTTTTTCAGTTGGAGAGGGAGGTATTTTTCCACATTTTTGCTACTTCCCGGATGCAAGACGATACGTTTTTTACCACTGCATCAGGTCCCTCACTGTACAAAAATTGCAATTTCCAATATTATGCTTGACATCAGTCCCTTGGATAGTCAAATTCACGGTGATTTTCTTCTGTAACAGACCCCTCCCTTAGGGGATCGGGGCTGACCGATAGATTGACCTAGCCTTCCGGGCCAGGTATCTCACCGCCTTCCACGTACCCGAGCGGCGTATCGCTCTACTAGACAATACTCAAATATCCATACCGGTTAACAATTACATTTATTATTCCAAACACAACCGCCATCTTCATCGCTTTTCCCTCTCTCCTCGATCTTCGATCGAGGCGCCAGGACTTGGGTTTAGACATGCGCGGTAACTCCGCCTCCGACTTACGTCATCAGCGTCGCTGGCCGCGACATCTTCCCCCTCCTCCTATCGCGACGACCGCGTCGCGAGAATTGACGGCAAGGTCTGAATAAGGCTTCAAACTTTAGATATCAATAACACATACAAAAATGAATACGACAAATTATAATAATGTAAAATTAAAGCTTACTACGGTTATTACTGCCTATTTTGAACTGCTATCGAATTGCAAACGTTTATCCCTTTAGACAAGACTATGAAATATAAGGAAGAAAAGTGAATATTTCTTGGTTTTTCAGGTATTATATTAATTCACGACGAGCTCAGCGAACGGAGGAAACTGCTCCGCGTTCTGGGCTTTATGGTATTGTAAGTGCGACGCTATATATCTTTTTTCCGATAACCAAGATTGCAAGAAAGACTAGAGTTTCATAAGAATGGGAGTCCACGTAGCTCTTCTGATAGTTTTCTGATAGGACGAAAGTTAATACAGCATAAAATTGTCCATACAATACATGCTGCGACCTGATTGTGAGAGGAAGAAGCTGAGGGGTGTGGGTGTGGAGTAGTGAAGTGGATGGAAAGTGTGTGTGAGTGGCATAGTGACTGTGGTGCTTAGTCCTCCTCTTCTTCATCATACTCTTCGTAGTCGTCTTGATCCTCCTGGTAGTCATCTTCGTATGGGTCTTCCGAATAATCTTCGGCGTCGTCGTACTCATCATCATATTGCGGTTCCTGTGCATCCCAATGCGAGGGTCCCGGTTCATTGGTGGGCCTATCATAACTATCATGGAACAAATTGAGACTTGCTTCTGACCGGCGCGGGCGGTCTTCTTGATTTGAGATCTGATGCGGTTCTCTGCGCCGCTTGCGGTTGTTGGGGTGATTTTCGCGAAAATTGTTGTAACGCGGGTTGAAATTCCGCGGTCCGGCGAAAGGGGCTCTTTTCCCTCTGCGATTGTGAAACGGGTTGAGGCGAGCGAGCTTCCTCTGTACAGGGTGCGCCAATAAAATCTGGACTAATGTTTTTGCTTGCCCTGCGGGCTGTAACAGTACGAGAACAAAGTTCTCGATTGTGGACACGTGTAATACGTCCAAGAAGCTATCTTTAAAGTTTCAGACAAAATAATCGTCTACGACACTTGTTTTGCCATTATAAGTGCATACAACTAAGGCGCCTGAAACACGGACCCCAAATTGGTCAAAAAATGGTTGCGCTATCTTTACCGTTTTATGCTATGGACTGAAATTTACTTTTTCTGATAGAGCTCCGTTCGGTTTTTATACACTGAAATTGATTTTTCCTCATTATGACAATTAGGCTTTTTACAGCTCGCCAAAGTTGGCTTAAAAACGGGCCCTTTTTCACGAGAACTTCCGTTAAATTAAACATTTTTATGTAGAAGTTTCCCTGTGTGATTCCAAACATGTTAAGCACCAGAACTACTTTTGCAAGGATAACCAGAGTCAGCATAGTCACCTTTCAAAAAGGATTTTTCTATCTGCTGCCTCTGGGGATTAAATAGTGGCTGTAGGGGCATAATTTACCATATCCTCGCTATTCGAGTGAGCTTGGACTAGATATTTCTAAAAGTGATTTGGCTACATCAGCATGTATCCAGTATACAACTCTATGTTGATTTTTACGCTCAAGGCCTTTCATACTTGTTGCAAACTGCCAAAACGTTTCAAGTTCCGAATGACCGAGCCTTGAATTCCCCCATGAACTTTTATTTATGAAAAAACGGTCCCCTTATATGTGCGGATTTTCTTTTACACTATAACAATTGGCTATCTATACGCTCTGTAATCACGGAATTTTGGAGCAACACGGGCTATAATCTGGCGTTGAGATCCTTAAAAACACAAAAATCCAAATTTTTGGGTATTTTTTTGTTTCCGCCACCAACGCCGCCAGATCGGCCACCAACCCTGGTTCCGTAGGCTGTTACAAAGACAACAGCACGTACTTTATATACGATCAATTTGAAGAACGTCAGTGACTATTAGCAGAAATAATGGAAGAATCAATATCCCAGTTATCATCTTGAAAAAAAATTTCTGCACCTCCAAAAACTTTTGATTATTTTTTCAGCCTTGCAATAGGCATCGACCTGGTTATTACCGTTGCTGTATAGCACTGTTGTTACCCTTTCTAAAAGTGCTAAAAGTTTCCGTTCTCAGGCCATCCGAAAAAGGCTATATGGAATTTAGTTTTGTCCAGATTTTATTGGCGCACCCTGTATATTGAAAAGGGCTTCGCGAACGAAATTGTCGGACCCCTGCACCGCATTCACGCCGTACGCCTCATAGCGTCCGACCTCATTTTCCGCTATCACTATCAATTCGCCTAGCTCCGTATCTCTATTAGCGCGCAAGCGGATGGCGTCGCGTACCTGCCTTGGTAAAGCGGCAACTAATTGCGCGCGTACTTGAGACTCTTGTACCGCACTCGCCAATTCCCCGTGCTCCTCACTCGGAAATGCATACGTTGCAAGATCACGCAACTCTTCCACCAACCCTAACACTGACTCACCCTCAGCCCATGTCTTCTCAAAGAAATCCCGGCGCGCTTTTCCTTGCTTCCCAGCTATTGGGACTGCGCGAGCAATCGCATTTAAAATTTCCTCTGGCTCCTCGGCCCTGATTAGCTCTCTGTCCAGATTGTTATACACCACCATGGCTTCATCAGCCAAACAGTGGGGAATAAGTTCGGCCGCTTTCTTGCGGCCTAACTTCCTCGCATCACACATACGAGCGTATTGCTGCAAAAACGTGGCAAAAGGCCGCGGGTCGTGTCGGCCGCAAAAGGGGGTCAACGGATAGGAGGGCGCGTTAGGCTCTTCCGTTGGGGCCATGATATCCGATCAGAAAAAAGTTACCTGTGCTAGGCACGGATGAAGGTAAAGAAATGATCTTCCAAATTTTAGTTTGGCCGGGAAGGTGGGCGTTGTTTGCATGGGTGGGCTCGTTTTGGTTTGGCGCCACACCTTGCGTAACTTGGCGCGCTGACCCCTTGTCGCTTGACCTATATATGTTCAACTTAATGGGCCTATTGCGCCTTTCCCGCTTTATTTTCTCTGAGGCTATTCTTCTTTGCGGTAATCTTTCCAGTTGTGACCCCTGTTGCCATAGCTCGCAGCAATCAAAAAAAAATTCAAATTTTACATCGATACCGAGAGAAAAAAATGTGTACAGAAAGGTGAAGACCTAGTACTTGTTGATCAGACAATCCTAAGTAAACCCTTTTTCAAAGATGGTGGATATTACATGCTTTTAGGGAAGTCAAATAGCTCGTTTTATAGCAAGTGGCCTCAAGTTAATGTCAATGATGAATCTCTAGTTTCTTTTCGTTTTTTTGAGATCATATGTACTTATTTTGCTTATGCCGCGTTCAAGGAAGCTTTCAATGTAGAAAAATAAAATTACACTGTCCCTGTCCCTGTATAAATAATTTTCGATCGCTAATTTCTTTTTTGGGGGTATTTTATTTTTGGATTTTTTATTTGGTTTTTTCAATTAATTTTTTTTTCAGCACGACATGACGATATCAGCACTCTTTGCGATTTTTGGATTTCCAGCCCCGAATTTCGATGAGATTGGATTGCCCTGTTATTCGACTGCAGTGACCATCGAACTTCGGCGGATCAACCAGAAATATGTTGTTAGAGTAAGTTAGAGTAACCGCTGTCAAAATTTTGGTTTATTTACTGTAACCTTGGAGAAAATGCGTTTTATTTATAGCGATTTTGGAGAAAAAGTTCATTATTTGTTATGTTACAGCAATTTGAAAAATTTTTTTTTTTATGTTACAGTAATCCTGGCAGAATTTTTTTTTTCATGTGACAGTAATGTTTAGTCAAAAAATTTGATTTTGAGGCATAAAATTTCCCGTTTTTAGGTGCTCTTCTGGCCAGCGAACAAGGACAAATTTCAAGACATTACAAGTCACATCAAAGGATGCGAAGGGGAATGCACTTTGAAACAATTCAACGAAAGGGCAGAGATTTACAGGGTCGATGATATCAAAGAGGTGGGAAAATTTATTTTTACATGTATTAGTCTATGTTTCTCACCGTTTCACAGTGATTTTTTGACTCTTCAAGTTTTCGTGGCGGGACCGAAAATCTAAAATGCACAGTCATATCTTTGTTTTTTCAGTTATGCAACACCCCATTGTTCCCAAATTCAACGGACAAAGATTCAAACGACCCCAACGACCCACGAATCCCAGTTCTGTCGTCGGGAAATCTTCGGAGTTACAGTATTCTAGTCATGATATCTGCATTCCTATTCAACTCATTTGGTCTGTAAATATTTTGTGAAAAAATATATATGAAAAGATATGTCATAAAGTTGGTGGTAGTTTCATTATTTTACTTGCAATGTGCTATGGAACAGAAATGCGATGGCTAAAAACCGAAGTTTTAGCAGTGCCTTCCGATTGTGAAATCTGTCAAAATTTCCGCGCTCTTTTATCGGATTTGACAATTGTTATACTAATCCGTTCGTAAAGTCGCTGGAATGTTTTTGGCGACATGCACTCCGCAAAACCAAAAGTTCACTTTGCACTGCGCAATTTTTGGCTCTGTCGCCCGCACCCTCAGTTTTCTTGCACAGTGCACGTCGCCGAAATCATTCCAGCGTCTTTACGAACGGCCTAGTAAATATCAGTCTGTCGGGAAAATAACGGCGGATCGTCGCATCAAAATGTCTCGCCTCGCCGCTATCGCGCACCAAATCCCAAGCCGCGGCTTGCAGTCGCAGAGCGATAATGGGCGATTCCGAGGCGCGACGATCCGCCGTTATTTTCCCGACAGACTGATATATTTTTTTGATCTTATCGTTAGAAGTTACAGTTGTCATCTGACAGGGGAAGTACCCAAGTGCGGCGCTCAGATTTGATACGCATTTGTCGCAGTAAAATGCCATTTGCAATAGGTCCTTTTTTCCAACGTGTTTGCCCAATATTTACAGGGCAAGTACCCCAAGTGCGATGTTCAGATTTTGATGAAACTTGGCACAGATTTAGAATAATTTTTTCTAAAATATATGCGAGAATCCTAGCTCGCGCTTTGCTGAAAAAAACGAGATTTTTAGATCGAAAGTCGGCAAAAATTTTACACTTTTTGCCGAATTTCGGCACAAAAAGTTTCATTCCTTTTTCTACCATATAGGGTAGTGTTTCTACTAAAATCAATTTTTTCCGAACGAAACTAGCAAAGTTATGGCCAAAAAGTGTTTTTTTTCTTTGACCGCTCTCCACGTTTAGTGTGCTCTCTCGGCGACAAGGATCGCTGAATATCTCGGCGGCGCTTGCAAAGCGCGAGCTAAAACTTTCAGGAATTGAAATCTAGTCTATATATTCCCGACGTATGCGCAAAATTTAAAGAAAATCTGAGCGTCGCACTTGGAGTACTTATAAAATCTTAATCATCAAGAAACAACTCTTTGGTCGGATTTTATGCCTCTCCAGTTTATAACTCTAATTCTACAAAACTAGATCAACCGGGTCACCCCGCATTTCCAACCCCATTCCCGCCCTCATTAATTGCATTTTTACTAATCTTCTGCACGTTTTAACCCCGCTCCGTCGCTCGCTGGGCCATGTTTACGGAGCGGGACACACGTAAAGTGAAATTATTCATGAGTTCCGATGTTTGTTTATTTTACGTGAACATCAAAGGGAAGCGTTGGAAATTTGCTGCAATTTATATATGGGGGCAGATAAGAGGACCACTTTTTCGACGAAGTTCTGTGCTCAGTATGTAATCTTTTAGGCAACCGGCAGCACGCCTTTGCTTCCTTCCTCACTTATCTCCGTTTCTGTTTTGCAATAAATTTTAGGGTTGTTATGACTTCTTGCAAAGAAATTTGGTTCGATATTTAGTGACGGTGGGGTGAGCAACGGCTCTATTGAAGTCCACACTTCCTTTTTTACTTTTCTCGGCCGTGTAGTTCTGTTAATATTTTGATTTTTAAAGCCCTATCTTCTTTACTATTAAACCCAGAGAAAAATTGTTTTCGTGTTGAAAAAACTTGTCGATTTTCTTGAAAAAAACATTTTTTTACTGGATAAATTCTTTCGCACAGCAAAAACAATCTTTCCTTGGTCAGAATATGTAATCAAGGAAATCGTACTTCATTGTTAGATATCAGCTTGGAAAAAAATTGTTTCTTGCAATGATGGAGGTAAAATAGGCTGTGCTCAACATACTAGTTTACCCCCATCATTGCAACGCCAAACCCGTGCAGAATATTATGTGGTAGTCCTTCCGGAAAAGTCGTTGAACTTTCCGTTGTGAGCGACCGCCCCAAAAAACCTATCGCACGGTTGCAAAAAGCAAGAAATTGCACAGTAGAAATTTTGTTTTCTTGCAGTGGGCGTCGCCCAGTTCACCCCGGCAACATTACGAACGGCCTAGTAGAACTTCAGTTTATTAATTTCTTTGCACGTTTTCTTCTGCCCTTCCAAACATCCACCTAACGGAATATTATATACAAACCCCTATAAAGAAGAGCTTTTTCCTTTTCCGTTCCTCTTTTGCGCACTCTATATTTGGCCGGACTTTGGCCATTAATTGCGCATGCGTTGTCTGCGCGACGGAAAAGAGCGCGCTCGGTCTGACTTTCATAACGAATGAAGGCCAAAATTTGCATATAGCTTTTAGACGGGAGGAGTATTTTATCGACTTTCTTGAGTAAAGACTTGCGTTGCTTTGATTGGGACATGTTGGCTCGAGATTGTCATTTTGCAGTTCTAAGCATAATAGTAACATTGCGGTTTATATTACGCAAAATTTTCAGGCGTCAGATGCGCTTTAGTTTGAGAAAATGTTCGCAAAACTCTTGCAGTACTCTCAGAGCTTCAACGATCGTGCTGGCGCGTTGATAAAGTCGGTTCGGGCGGTAAGTTTTGAATTTTTGATTTTTTTTGCCTTTGAATTTTTGGAAACAAGCCGTCAGATTTCAAAAGGGTAATTTCAGCCAGAACAATCAAGAATCACGGCGACCACAGAGCCAGTGGCATCAAGATTAAGCTATTTTAACTTCAATTATTTTATTCGCGACACTGTTTGCGTTTTTGTTTATGTAATAGTGAGGACGGTGAACAACATCGGTGTTTTTGATTATGGTAAGTTGTGAACCGTAGTTAAAAAGTTAGCAGGTCAAATATTGGAAAAGAGTGTGTATGACTTTGCGAAGACGTGGTTTTCTTCAGAAAAAATTAACAGGGAAAGTGTCCCAAGTGCGACGCTCATGTTCATTTTATATAAATTATGCACAGATTTTGCAAATTTTAAAAATTTTAGAGCCCTCTTTGCAGGCACAGCCTCGATATTTTACGATCTTTTTGGCACAGAGAGTATACAAACGCGGATAGCCGTCACAGAGAAAAACAGTTTTTGCAAATGTCTTTGCTAGTCTTGTGCGGAAAAAATATTTTTTTTGTGTACCCATGCGGTAGCAATAGGTATGAAAGTTTTCATGCCAAAATGCGTAAAGAAACATCGAATTTTTTCCAATTTTCGCTAAAAATCTCGATCGTTAATGCAAAGCGCGACCTAGGAATCCCGCATGTCTTATGTCAGCAAAATTTATTCTAAATTTGTGCCAAGTTTCATTAAAATGTGATATACATAAGTCATTAAGGATATATTTTTTACACGAAATTCGCAAGACCCTTTATGGATAAGATAATTAAACGGGGAATGCACAATGTATTATTATTTTTTTTAGAGTTATAATATTTTTTAGAGTTTTATCGAGACCTGTACTCGACTAATTTCCTTAGTAAACTTTTCTAATTATATACGTATACTTTTAGGAACCAAATTCCAATCCGTGGCGGCTCCATCTCCCTTCAAAGAAATTACAAATTCCGATGTCCAATCATTACATAGAGTTGATTCAGCGCAATCTTTAAGTATTACCGTAGTTGATGATAATAGGGAAGTCATGAAAGAAATATTATACACAGTTGAAGAGCCCACGACCTTAGAACCTCAGATTCCCTCTGAGGCCATTGAAACTCTACGAAAAGCTTCGTCAAGTACGATAAGTTCGGATGAAGGGATTCATTCGGCCAAAGGCTATGAAATCGATGAAATTGAAGAGCAAAGTGAGGATTTGTTGGAAGATGAGGAGGAAAAAGAAAGTCGGAAACCTATTTATACGTCGACAATTGATTTGGGACCAGGTGATCAGAATAAACTGACGTTGTGCTTTACGAATAAGGGATTCTATGACAAATTGAAGATGAGACTACCGCATAAAAGAGTAAGAAACTTTTCCCAACTCGATTAAACTTAGCAGGTCTTCTAAAAATTTGCTATAGTTTTTCTAAAAACTAAAATTGATAATCAAAACAATGTTTTTGTCACAAGAAAAGTACCCCAAGTGCGACGCTCAGATTTTCTTTAAATTTTGCGCACATGTCGGGCATGAACCAAATATCAATTCCTCAAAGTTTTAGCTCGCGCTTTGCGCGCGCCTCCGAGATATTGATCCATCTTTGCCGCCGAGATAGTACGCTAAACGGGGAGAGCGGTCAGAGAGAAAACCGCTTTTTGGTCATAACTTACGTGCGGAAAAAAATTGATTTTTTGTATAAACATTAACATTTACGGCAGAAATAGGTACGAAACTTTTCGTGCCAAAATTCGGAAAAAAGTCTTAAATTTTCGCCGACTTTCGATCTAAAAATCTCGGTTGTTTCTGCAAAGCGCGGGCTAGGATTATCGCATATATTTTAGAAAAAATTATTTTAAATTTCTGCCAAGTTTCATCAAAATCTGAGCATCGCACTTTGGGTACTTCCCCTGTCAGTTGACAAGGGCTGCTGATTCTACCGTAGTCTCTCACAAAAAATGAATTTTTGCTGATAATTTTTGCTGATTTTGAACAACGACTTTTTTTCAGAAGGACTCCAATGAACCACTTCCGATTCTGTGTGGGCAAAAGTTGGCCCAACCCAATGTCCCATCAGATAAAGCAAAAACCGAGACATCAGTTTGGAGTAGAATGATCAAAGTTTTCCGTCGCAACAGAGTCGAGCAATCGGCTGGCTTGAAATCGAGGTTCTCTACGAACGAAAAGCGCCCCAATATAGGCCATAAAATTCGTGTAGAAATGTAGTGATGATGTTGTTTAGAATCTCATTTATAATCGAAATATATAAGTCTATGGTCTATTGTTCCTGTTGTCACCGGTATTCTCCATCCTCAATAAAGATGACTTTTACTATAATATTATGTGTTTAAACATGTTAAAGTATCAATAAAGTATTGCGATAGTCGTTCCTACAGTTTTTAGGATTAAAATTTGATGGGTTACGTTAGCTGCTCTCATCTTTTAAGATTAAAATTTACGAAATTTGCAACCGTTTTCAATATACTTACATTATTGGTATCTAGTACACTAATTACGCCAAAAACTGATAAGATAAAGTGAAAAAAGCTTGTGATCAAATAACCAACTTATTTGATCATAATTAGTAAGAGGTCAAAACAAGGGCTAGTTGGGGGAAAGAGACACGAAAAAAATAGAGAAATGGGAAAAAGAGCCTTTCTCCGCTTGAAAAAGAGGGATTGGACAGACTGAGGGAAATGGGTCCAAAGAATTTCTCGAGGGGAATAAAATAAAGAATCTTATTTTGTATTTTATTTCGTGGAGTCTTGGCACAAGCAATGGGGAACTGTATATAAAGTTAGCAAAGATTTTTTAATTTAGCATCTGCTTTAACGATTTTTTATGTAAAAAGGAAGTTCTCTCAACCCACAGCTTTTCAGCCTCCTTTTCAGCTGACAAGAGGGTTCTTTTATGTATTTGAGATATTCTAAATTTATCAAAATTTGAATGCGAAACTAGCCATGAATGAATCCCTGAAATTTCTTGCTTGTTTTGGGTTAGAGCCATGTTTGGCAGCGGCCTTTGTGAGAGAAAGCATGCGAGTTGAGGAGAGTTGGATAGGTAAAAAAGGTATTTGTGAAAAAGGTTTAAAAAAATATTCCTTGTTTATGGAGAGTTTATAATACGTAGCCTAAAAGCAAATGGGCGGGTGTAGCCTCCCTAGCTATGCCTTTAAAAAAAGTTTGAATCATTTCCGGGTTGTTTTCGAAATATTATAAAACTTTTCGAAATGACCCTTTCGATAAGGGTAAACACTTTTTGTTACTTTTTCCAAGCTCATTGACATAAAAAGCTCCATTTCCGTAACAATTACTTCTTCTTACAACCACTGCAAGCTATATTCTTTTTAAAATTTGTGTTTTTTTTACTTTTTTGAGTTTTCAAGATAACAAGGGCCTGAATCTTGACTAATATTAAAAAAATAGAATAAAAAAATCCCCAATGATTTTTTTGTGAAAAGCGACCACACACATTTTTTCATTCCCTGCTTGTGATCCCGTTTTTTCTTACAATGGCGGACCTGATCCATTGGCAAAAACGTACCATTTTGTATCCGGGGAGTATCAAAAATGCAGCAAAATACCTCCTTCTCCAGAAAAAAAACTCAGATTTCAAAAGCGCACCCGCTCTTTTTGTGAGGTAAAGGAGCTTTTTTTATTTTAGTGGGAGGTATTTTGCCACATTTTTGAAACTTCCCGGATGCAAAATTATACGTTTTTTGCCACTGGATCAGGTCCCTCACTGTACCAAAGACTTTTTCACTTTCAGTTAATAACCGCTCACCATGATACAGCTCTTCCTAGTCATACTGATCTCACTTCTCACGGACGTTCTGCTCACAATTCTCGGGTTCGGTTTCTACTCTACTGGGTTTCATTTTTCAATCGACATTTTACTTGACAAACTTTGTCCGACCACCTTTGATGTGCGACAAATCTCGGTGGATTTCTTATTATTGTCGGCTGTTCGATGGATCATCGTTGGAATCGGAGTGGTTTTGCGTTCACGGCGATACGAAACGACAACTTTTGAACATGGACTGAATATATTTACAACACTGAGTATTTCATATACTTTGGGAAAAGGTGAGCCGATTAGAGCCTAGTCTTAAGATTAAAAATTGATGATTTGTCCGGTGTAAGGTCTCGAATAACATGACGCACATAAAAATCAAAATTTCAGTCCTCGCCTTTTCCGAAATCGAGGTTCAACTTCGATATCCCGGCCTATGGCTCAACGTGATCCTCAATATTCTCATCTCTCTACTTCTTCCCCGGTTCTACAAACGATTTTTGTCTTATCTTGCATTAAACGTAAATTCATACCATCGAATGGAAAACGGGCAAACAGTGGAGCCTGTCGAGAATGGCACAAGCAATGGGAATACTGCTCTGCCGGAGGGGTCAGCGCAAAACGTGGAGGCAGAAAATGGCAGAAGGTCGATGGGAGAGCACATAAAAGCGCTGTTGGGATACTGTAAACTGCATATCGCGTGGTTCGGGATGGGATTTCTGTTCTTGATCGTCTATTCAGCTGGTAAGAGAAAAAAAATGGTTACGTGGGAGACCTGATCCAATGGCCAAAAAACGTGCCATTTTGCATCCGGGAAGTATCAAAAATGTGGCAAAATGCTTCCATCTCCAAGTGAAAAAAAACTCCGATTTCAAAAACGCGCTCACTCTTTTTGTGAGGGGAAAGCCCTTCAAAATGAAGATTTTTCACTTGGAGAGGGAAGCATTTTGCCACATTTTTTATACTTGCCGGATGCAAAATGGAACTTTTTTGCCACTGGATCAGGTCCCCCACTGTATTAAAAAGCGGTCCACGCCTTGCAGATGTTTTTAGTTTTCTTTTTTCAGCCCGAGTATTCGTCCCTTACTATGTGGGCCAGGTTCTGGCTGACATTATGTTGGAGTCACATGGGAAAGAATCCAAATTCATTCATGACATTCTAATGTTATGCTTCTTGACCCTGCTTAGCACCTGCTTCGCCGGACTTCGCGGTGGGACTTTTACGCAAGCAACGGCGCTGATCAATCGGGCAATGAGAAATGATCTCTTCTCGTCGTTGGTGAAGCAAGAGATTGCGTTCTTTGATAGCAATCAAACCGGTAAGTGATGGTGTATTCAACGAAGTTTATGGGTTTATATAAAAACCTTTATTTTGAAAAAAAAACAATTGGACGAAAAGATATATAAAAATCGGAAAATTTTTTTGGTTCACCCTAATAATTTTTCCGCAAAATTTGACTATTTTTTAGGCGCAATAACCTCGCGTTTGACCACCGATTGTCAAACGGTAGCGTCCAGTGTGTCAACCAACGTGAACGTCTTCCTGCGCAACAGTGTCATGCTGATCGGCAGCCTGATCTTCATGTTCAACCTCTCCTGGAAACTCACCATGATCACATTCATTGCGGTCCCTCCTCTAATGACTTTCAGCAAATATTACGGCCGTTATTTTGAAAGGCTCAGCGAAAAGACTCAAACCGCGATGGCGGATGCGAATCGGATGGCCGAGGAGGTGCTGGGCTCGATGCGGACCGTCCGCGCGTTCGCCTGCGAGGAGCAGGAGAGTCGGAGGTATTTGGACAAGCTGAATATCACGTTATCCTTCAATCGGAAGCGAGCCGTCGCCTACATGGGATATGTTTGGGTCAATGAACTAAGCGAGAATGTTGTGCTGATTGCTGTGCTTATTTATGCTGGACGCTTGGCCATGAAAGGCCAATTAGATGCGGCGTCGGCAACCTCCTTTCTCTTCTACCAAATGCAGTTGAGCGAGAACTTTACTGGTCTGAATTACGTCTTCTCCGGGCTGATGGAGAGTGTTGGTGCGTCGAGGAAGGTGTTGGAGTATATTCATCGTGAGCCTGAGATCAAATACGACGGGAAACAGGAGGGTGAGATCGAGGGCGAGATTGAGGTGGAGAAGGTTCAATTTGCATACCCAAGTAGACCAACGAATGCGGTTTTGAAGGTAAGGATTTTGTTATTTTGAGCTACGGTGAGGGACCTGCTCCAGTGGAAAAAACGTGCCATTTTGCATCCAGGAAGTATCAAAAATGTGGCAAAATATCACCCTCTCCAAGTGAAAAAAGCTCAGATTTTAAAACCGCGCCCTTCAAAACGAAGTGTTTTCACTTGGAGAGGGAACCATTTTGCCACATTTTTGATACTTCCCGAATGCCATTTTTTGCCACTGTCGCCTACTGTAAGAACTGAAAAACTGCCTCCTAAACCCTTCAATTTGCAGGAGCTTTCAATCCGAATCTCTCCCGGTCGAACTGCCGCTTTGGTTGGCCCCAGTGGAGCTGGTAAATCCTCCGTAATCGCACTGCTTGAGCATTTTTATAACACCTCGTCAGGCTCGATAAAGTTAGATGGAGTTCCCATAAGCGATTATGCCCATCGATTTTATCATCAGAAGGTCTCACTCGTGTCTCAGGAACCAGTTTTGTACAGTGGATCCGTCAGAGAGAACATATTATATGGCTGTGAGGAGACGGTAACGGAGAACGATATGATAGAAGCCGCAAAGTTGGCGAATGCTTACAATTTTATAGTCGAAATGGAGAATGGATTCGATACGCTCTGCGGAGAGAAGGGAGTTCAAATGAGTGGTGAGGAACATACCGCAAAAAGTTATTAAAAAACTGCGCTTTAGGCGGTCAAAAACAGCGAATTGCCATTGCCAGAGCGTTGGTTCGAAAGCCCGCCGTTCTCATCCTCGACGAAGCCACATCAGCGCTGGATTCGGAGTCCGAATATGTCATCCAACAGGCGCTTCAGCAATGCTGTGTTGGCCGCACCGTCATCGTCATTGCTCATCGGCTGAGCACGGTGGAGAAGGCGGACAAAATCTTTGTTATCGACAAAGGAAAAGTGGTCCAAGAAGGGAATCATCAAAGTCTGATGCTGGAGGAAGGACTTTACAGACAATTGGTGCAACGGCAACTGCTCAATGGTGCGGGCGGGGAATGGAAAAATTGTAAATGAAACGTCTATTATATGTGATATAAGAGAGTCTGCAATAAAGAAATTTAAGACCAAAGGGTTACTCATTACTTCATTTGTCATCCGGCACTATAAAATTTTTAAAATTTACTTTCCACACGATCTCCCAGAAGTGAAATGCTCACCAAACAGGATACAGTGGAAGACATGACCCAGTGGCAAAAAACGAGATTTTGCTTCCGGGAAGTATCAAAAATGTGGCAAAATGCTTCCCTCTCCAAGTGAAAAAACTTCGTTTTGAAGAGCGCGCCTTTTCACTCACAAAAAGAGCTCTTTTGAAATCGGAGTTTTTTCATTTGGAGATGGAAGCATTTTGCCACATTTTTGATACTTCCCGTACAAAGTGGTATGTTTTTTGCTACTGGATCAGGTCCTCCACTGTATGTCATCAGAGATTGCAAAACTTTAAATTATTTTCTTTATTTTCCACACGTTTCAGAAAGAAAATGCTCACCAAACAAGATATTTATTTAGAAAATGGATGTAAGAAGTTTTTGCAAAATATTCATGTAAAATATGGCTATCTATTCCGGCTCTTTTACCTTCGAAAACCCAATTTCGTTCTTTTGATAATCCAGAAAAACGCAGTATTTGTAGAATATTGTTCTGCCAAAGGCCCACTCCAGCTTGTCAGGGTTCGGATCAAGCGGTTCTGCCTGTACGATGATGGGTTGGTTTGGCAAAGTGGCGTCAATGCCATTAACATCCGAATCAAGTCTCAGATTCTGGTTGATTTGAAAGGAAATACCGTCGTTGATCAGCATTGTTTGGTTTAGAATATAAAAGTCGTTGCGATCCCACAATCCGGCTGGAACAAAAATGCCGGACACGATAAGATCATGCAGTACATGTCTTGGAAGTCGTATTCCAGTGCTCTCCGTTAGCATCATCTATAGTATTTATACCTTATTCAGTGGCAAAAACGTGCCATTTTGCATCCGGGAAGCGTCAAAAATGTGGCAAAATGCTTCACTCTCCAAGTGAAAAAACTTCGTTTTGAAGGGCGCGCTCTTTCCCTTACAAAGAGAGCGCTTTGAAATCGGAGTTTTTTCACTTGTAGAATGAAGCATTTTGCCACATTTTTGATACTTCCCGGATGCAAAATGGTCTCAAAAATTTGCATGTTCCACTCCAAACATACTCTAAATCGTTCATGCGAACTGTAACCAAGAAAATTGATATTCATTACATCGAAAATCCATTCGGTGTTGCCGACCGCCTCAACCTTCACTTGCTGCTCCTCGCAGAAGTCTGTGTTATAATCTCCAAATGTGAAGTAATAATAGCCTTTGCTGTAATGAACCTCTGGTAAGGCGATTGTGACACCGGTGTAGTTCACAACGCCTCGCTCGGCCAACAGACCAGCAAAACGTTTTATTTTTGGATGCCGTCCAAGCCCAATCGAACCCCTGATTTTCAGCGTAAGTTCATTGGGTAGACGCTTACATTGTTTCCTCAATATTAAAAGTCGTCGCCGGTAACGTCTCTAGCACGAAATCGACAACGCCAAAATTGTAAACCACCCTGCAAAGAAATACACATTTTAGAAGCTGGCGTTTGCAAGAGCCGTTGATATCAAAAATAGCAAGCGTAAAAGTGGAATATCCTCACAAAGGTTTTCCAATTGCGTTTAGCCGAATATTCAGCTCATCCTCGGCCCATTCACCGGCGCCATAATTCTCTTGTGATCTCCAATACCTGCCGGGAAGCTCTTGAAATTTGGCCGAGTTACGATCGTAAGCCAGGTAGTGCCGACATTTCTGTCTTCTGCTTTTTTTGTTCGCGCTGCAACACCTCGGATCGCAGAATTCGCGGCAGAACTGCGCTACAGAGATGAGGGTTCTATAAATTATGAGTAGAGTCGCTTACGTACGTCGCAGTACTTGCTGCAACTTTTTTTCCAACATAATGCATCAACTAAGACCATTTCTGGAGAATTTAGGACGATTGCCAATGCCATTATCGTTTTCTTGGTTCCGAAGTAGAAGTCAAGCGCTGACAATGAGATAAAACTTCACAAAAATTTTTTTCGACTTACAAAGAGGCTTCAGCGGCTTGTTGTACTGCCGAATCCTGAACGGGTTCCCAGTCAAAACAACACCCAGCCCGAGTAATGCTACAACATATTTCATGTCGGACAACGTTGAATTCAGTATTTTTGGAAATGAAATAATCTTGTGTTCGCTTGTTCGGGCTAAAATCGCCTTAGGGAATTATAGGAGCACACCTTAATTTTACGTTGCAATCAACGTAATCCTACCAAATTTCGATAGCAATGATGGTAGGGAGTCACAAGGAAGCTGGTTTTATCTTTGTGCCAGAGGCTTATTTTTGTCTTTGTGCCAGAGGCTTGTAAGGAAAAACAAAATTTTTCAATCATTTATATAATGTATGTCTTTGACCTTGGAAAATCCGATCGTTCCTCTCTCATAGTCGAGCGTCACACAGTACTGGTGATATATCATTCTGCCCACAATCCACTGCACATTGTCCGGGTTCGGATCGATCGGGGAAAAGATTGCTGCAGTTCCTTCCACTGCAATTCCCATGGTCTTGGAGTCTCCATCAATCCGCAGCTGCTCATCTATTTGAAAGGAAATCTTATCTTCCACCAACAAAGACTGATTTATGTAGTACACATTCTCGTAGATCACTGGGTACCTTGTGAATACACCTGCTTCAATGAATTGTTGAAGAACATTTCTCGGCAGTTGAACGGCAATACCTTCAGTTAGGATCATCTGAAAAGAAGGTACAGTGGGCGACCTGTTCCAGTGGCAAAAAATGTACCATTTTGCATCCAGGAAGTATCAAAAAATGTGGCAAAATGCTTTCCTCTCCAAGTGAAAAAACTCAGATTTCAAAAGCGCGCCAGCTCTTTTTGTGAGGGAAGGGGAACCTTCGCTATCGTACTCTCTCGCCCCAAAAATTCCCCATTTCTTCCCCGACGAAAAGTTTTTTCGCCTCTTTTTTTGGCAGATTTCCAATCCATCACTCACCGGACTGTTTTAGCTTATATATCTTAGTTTGACGTGGCGCGCCCTTCGAAGATTTTTTCACTTGAAGAGGGAAGTATTTTGCCACATTTTTGATGCTTCCTGGATGCAAAATGGTACGTTTTTTGCCACTGGATCAGGTCCCCCCACTATATAACAGAAAACGTTCGCCTACTCGAAACATCCCTTCGCTCTTATAGCCGAAGAAGTTAACGGCGATCGCGTCGAAAATCCACTCACGCTCGCCTACAGCGCTAACCAGTTTCATGTTGTCATGGCAATTTTCAGTATCCATTTCGCCAAAAGTGTAGTAATACTGCAATCGGCCAATAGGAGATTTTACTGGGAACGCTATCGTTACAGACGTATGGTTGATCAAGCCGCGTTCGAGGAGAAGATGAACAAAGTTTTTGATCGTCGGATGCCTACCAAGACCGATGGAACCACTGTGAGTTTTGCGCAGTTATTTTACTCGTACACGTGTGAACTTACTTGGCTGGGTTTTTAGGGTCAAAGAATGGAACACGGGGTGTCTGCAAAACAAGGTCGACAACGCCCAGGCTCATCCGATCCCTGAAAAGTCTGGCATAAATTTATTGCCACGATTCGGTGAGAAGTTCCCAAGAACCAACCGATGGTACATAAATCTACAGTGAAGGACCCAGTGGCAAAAAACGTACCATTTTGCATCCAAGAAGCATCAAAAATGTGGCAAGATGCTTCCCTCTCTCCGTCACAAAAAAGGGCGCGCTTTTGAAATCGGAGTGTGTTCACTTGGAGAGGGAAGCATTTTGCCGCAATTTTTGATACCTCCCGGATGCAAAATGGTACGTTTTTGCCACTGGATCAGGTCCCCCACTGTAGAGAACCGGTGTTTTCGGTAGAAAATGGTCGAAAAGTTTCTTGCTTTTTTGGAGTTTTCGATAGATGAAAAGAGGGATGGTAATTGCCAATACGTCGCATATTTTGCAAAAATTCGGCTAACCTTAGTATGGGGGGCGTTTCGTTTGATGATTTGGGGAACACGGAACGGCTAGCCAAGGTCTGATTTTTCATAAAAAAAGTATTGCCGAAAGGTTTGGAATGCGTGTCAGAGAGTAGGAATCACAGTCAATTTTTTTAAATGGCTAGACAAAAACGGTCAAATGAGAGACCAGCTCGAGAAATTCTGATTCTGAGGCCTGACTCGCCCTATTCCCGCTGGGCGAATTTGGATATCACGTCAAACTGAGGAGTCCGGTGGCCGGAATAGACTCTTCGCTATCGATTGTTTACACTTCGTCTTGATTTCGCAGAGAAAGAGAGAAAAAAGACACGCAAAGGCGTACTCTCTCGCCCCAAAAATTCCCCATTTCTTCCCCGATAAAACGTTTTTTCGCGTCTTTTTTGGCAAAGTGTACTTCATCGGCCCGTTTTTGCCTGTCTCAGTTTGACATCACTTGGTCTATTGATTAGAATCAAACGTTATTCATGAACACCAGATGTGTTGACAGTATGACCGAGGCCGGCCAACTGACTCATCGGCCCAATTGCAACAACTAACATTGGGGCAGTCTTTTTTGCATTAACTGACCCGTCCTTGCCAGGCTGTGGTACCGGCAAAACGTGGACCTCATCTTCTGCCCAAACCCCAACAGCGTCCGTTTGTGGCGCATGCCAAAATTGTTTGCCACGGAGTTTAAACATTGTCGAGTTGTGGTCGTATCCTTTCACCTTTCCGCAAGCCGCAACCGTTCCACAGCACAGAGGGTTACAGAAGCTGCGGCAAAACTGAGCTGGAAATGTTTATCAGCTTGTGGAGGAGAACTGTCTCTTACGAACTTCGCAGTAAACGGGGCATTTTCCGTAGCTGCGCGGGCAGTCGGCGTCAAATAAAACAATCTCTGGAGTGTTCAATACTATCATGACGTCGTGTTGTGATCTTTGAGAGCCGAATTGAAATTGCTCCGCTAAAGCACATTTTTATAACATCTAACCGCAACTTAAAGGCGCGCACTACTTGCGACAAACCATTTGAGGGTAACCATTCTGCCGGCAGAAAATTGTGTACATACAGTGGGGACCTGATGCAGTGGCAAAAAACGTACCATTTTGCATCCAGAAAGTATCAAAAAATGTGGCAAAATACCTCCCTCTCCAAGTGAAAAAGACTCGGATTTCAAAAGCGCGCCACACGGCAACCCGAAGTGTTTCCTGGCTCCTTTCGACACTTCGCCCATTTTGTATCGGTTGAAATCAAACAAAATGTCACAAAAGAATTTTTCGTGGGATTTTGCGACCGAAAAATAGTTTTCTCGGAATTATTTTATTTCTTTTGTCAATTTTGACACTTCGTTTGGACGAGACTCAAAAGTGGACGGGAAACATTTTTCTTCTATTTCGGGTTGCCGTGCGCCAGCTCTTTTTGTGAAGAAAAAAGGCGCGCCCTTCAAAACGAAGTTTTTTCACTTGAACAGTGAAGCATTTTGCCACATTTTTGATACTTCCTGGATGCGAAATGATACGTTTTTTGCCACTGGATCAGGTCCCCCCACTGTACATATTTTGGTATATTTTGGTGCCTACAAAAAGCTTGCCCGCAAATGGTGTGCCCTCGTCTGGCTGCCCGCAAGCTTCGCGCTGCGACGTACATGGCGAGCCGAAGCCACGATTCGGGTGTGTAAGTTGAAATGCTGCAAGGCTTCCGTCCAAATGTATGGTAAGCACAACGAAGAAACGAAGAAGACCAAGTAACATCGCAAAAGTAATTTTCTGGAATGTACGGCTCAGTATGTGAGAAGAACCAAAGCGCAAGACAGCCGTACCTATCGCACTCTTTAAGCTCTAAATTTTTACTCGATTGAGCTTATGAAAAAAAGGGAAATGACTAATTTTCTATTGTTTCAATGGCCTGAGTAACTAATCGGCTCTGCTCGCTTCGCTTGGTCTCTGGTTACAAAGTGCGTTGTGTTTTAAGGCTGACATGGCAAGATAAAGCAGCTTGCATACAAAGCTGTACGTATACACAGAACAGGGCTTGTTAATTTTCTTCAACATGGGAGTTATTTTTACATGGATTGTAGATTGATACAAAGTTATTCTTTGCTGGTCGTCAGTTGTCAATAAAAAAGTTCACACTATGTTGTACTGGGAACGTACTTGGGTCCTTCTTCCAGCCGATTAGAAGGCCCTACTAGTTCAACAGGTATCAGCGGGACAACCTCCCAATTGATAAATCTCCAAACGCCGAATCCATCAGTGACAGTCGATAGTTTATTGATAGGCCGCAAGCACAATACAAACAAGATACCAATAGATCAAATGTCTCAAACGTACGACCGCTCTCTAGCCTTCCATTTCCAACCAACCTTCTCTTATTCTCCCTTCTGTCTACGTTGCTCTCTCGCAGTAGGCTGCTCGTTATCGTTGTGGGACCAATTGAGGGTCCAGATGCGGCTGGCAACACATTGCATTGGCAAAGTTGAAAGTTTAACTACGTATTACTATGAATTTTCTAAATTTTTTTCACCTATTTAGGTACATTTCAAGAACACGCAAACAGCTACATAACCAACATTTTCCTTTGTGACTAGAAGTGGGGCTTGATACGAGCACGTTTATAGAGGCCATGCCCCTTGTAGTGAACTTGGAAACCGTCCGCTTAAAATTATTTATTCAACTTTCTAAGCAGCAATATAGTATGAAAAACTGCTGCCAATTTTCATCACAATTTATAGCTTAATTAATGAGGGACTTAGTTTTTCTGTGTAATCTCGACGCCTTTGTAGCTCATAGCTGGCGGAGCTTGAGTTGGTGTTGGCCGCTTGCAACGGAAGAACAACCAGCAGTCCTTCTCGGGATTCAAACCCTCGTCAATGCTATGAACGTAATGGAAGATGATTTTAATATTGCTCCGAATAAATGAACAAAGTTCCCTGACTGCCGTATTTTTGCCCTGGTCAATCAGAATATCGCAGGCGACCTGAAATTGGGAAGTCAAGGAAAGGCAATGTCAGAGTTGGATGAGACTCTGCTCAAGTTTAGAGCTAGATTTTCGAGTACATGCAAATGTAATAGCCGGCGCTGCTTTTATAATATTAGAGTCATTTTTATATGGGAAGTTTTTGATGCGCGACCGAGAAAAAAGATTTTGACGCCACAACTCCCATCATTTTCCCGACAAACTGATAATATTATTATATTACAAAAAACTCGTGTTTCATGCTGTTAGATTAAGCAAGTCTTAATGCAGTGGAAGCTTTTTACAATCATTTGCAAGGAGCTAACATACATAATTCGCTATGTATTATTCGCTCACCATCGAAGTCACTGAATCTCTAACACTTCCCATATAGAAAAAAAACATACGTTAATGTCTCTGCCAAATTGGTCCTGATCGGTCAAGTTATTTCCATTCAACTCTTTAATGAGTTCGAACAATTCCACACAAGAGCCGCACTTATCACCGGCCGCATCAATACCAATAGCGGAGGCCATTCCAAGAAGGCAGAGTGCGAGAACGAGATATTTCATTGCAAAAATAAGATATGCGTGTTATAGTCGGACGATTTGGTTTTGTATTTATACTGACCATCAACGTGACTAAAGATTAATGATACAAAGAAAAGTAATTTTAATTAAAAGATGCCTCACCCAAAATGTGTTCAACTGTCCAGGTGTGGCAAATTTCTGAGTGCGTTATCTCAAAGTTTTTCGTTGCAGAAATGCAATAACAGGTGAGGGAGCGACTTATGACAACTGTGCGCACAATTGGAAGCCCGTTAATTTGCTTCGCGGTTAGGACGTGGGCTGGAATGGCAGAGATTTTGGGCACAATTTGGGTGAGGCCCGTCTTGATTACTTTTGATTCAATGGTCGATCTGACGGCAATCTTGATTACAATTGAGCAGTATAAATACAAAACCAAATCGTTCGGTTAAAACAAGTTCATCTTATTTTGCAATGAACTACCTTCTTCTCTCCCTTTCCCTTGTTGGAATGGCCCTCTGTAACGTCGAAGTGGTCGGTAATAAGTGCGACTATTGTATCGAATTTTTCGAAATCATGGAGGAGCTGAATGGAAAGAACTTAACCCAATGGTCGCAGTTTGTCGAAAATGCTCTCGTAAGTTTGCTTTGAAAGGAATTTTCTTTCAAGGGAATGGTCTGAACTTCATCCAGCGTTTGGGAAAATGACTATACTCCCGGACATATCTCTCTGACCACCCTGTAGCTCGGCTGTTAATTGAGATACATGGTCGAAAGACACTTTTATATGACAGATTCTGCCTGTTATGACTCGTAAGCATGCCAAGTTTCGAAGTGATTGCGTTATATTCACTTGAGATATGGGTGGTCAGAAATTTATGTCCGGGATTATATAAAATGAAAAAATGGAGAGGTCACAAAAGTCAATTTTGAACGGCCAGTACAACTGCCTTTAAATCGCACTTGTTACGGCCTGAGAAACAGAGTGCCAAAAAGAGTTTTTTTTTTGTCTGCTGTCGCAGAACCTGACGGAATCTTCACCGCAAAATAATTTCAGTTTGCTTGCAAGATTCTAAACCCGGATGGAAAGAATGCGGAATTCAAAGAACTTTGTGAATTTGCACTAAACCGTCTTGAAAGCATCTACAAGTATGTTCGGTATGTCGACAATGGAATTCATCCCGAGAAGGACTGTTGGGTCTTCTTCCGTTGCAAGCAGGATAGGTCAACTACAGCTCCTCGCAACTCCCGGATTCCACAGGGGAACCAGCGTCATCAAAAAGTGAATTGATGAAAATGAAGTTCATCAATAATTAAACGTACTATCTTAAATATGGGCGGCAGTATTTGAAAATTTAAGGAGAGTTTTAAAATAAACTACACGCTTGGCTAATTTTAAGACGAAGTTGGTCATTTTGTAAGCTTTATACAAGTCGTTATATAAAGCCCTACCATATGAAACATATGTCAGTAGATAGCGTTTTCAGCGTTCTTTCAGATACTCTAAACAGAAATTGTGATGTCCTATTTCAACCTGTGAAAAGTGCAAAACAAAAAAAAACGACAAAGTCATACTTCTAGGCCTAATATTATGGCAGCCGGTTTGGCCCAAAAAGATCGAATCCAATGATTATTTTGATTTTATTGATTGATTCAAATTCGTCGAAAAAAGTTATCAAAGAGGAATAGCGAAAAAGGAAGAAATAGGCAAATACTAAAGGCACAAACAGCATGAGTTGCATACTCCAAAGAGTCCATTGGTATTTGCCCGTACATGTGCTCTATCTTGTCCTCGTCTTCATAATGAACATTCGGAGCAGGTACTGCTAAAAGGGATCAAATAACAGGGAGAAATCGAAAACCTTTGAAGAGTTTTTGTAAAAAAACGCTTCAAAAAAAAGAAAGTGAAAGCATTCCTCACCTGTACTCGAAATTACATCTCCATCTTGATTCAGAAGAACCCAATCACCCCCTGTTTTATTTTCCGCACGTTCAGTTGCCATGCGTTCCCCGGTTGGCCAAACACACTCGAAAGCGTCGGTAACGGACTGGCAAATGTATTCCATATTATAATCAACTGCCGACACACAAGGTCGAGTAAATTGAGTATACTGAGCGTTTATACGCATAGCGGTTAATTACAGAAATTATTTGCGTATCAATTTATTTCGTAATCTAATATTATACAAAGCAGAAAAGTTGACCACTTGTTTCCTGAGGTGAAAAAAACAAAAGCGCAGAGAATTTGCACCAAACTTATCCTGTAGGACAGCCTGGCGATCGTGAGAATGAGACGTTGGAAGGACATTGTATACAGTGGGGGACCTGATCCAGTGGCAAAAAGTACCATTATGAAAGTATCAAAAATGTGGCAAAATGCTTCCCTCTCCAAGCGAAAGAACTTCGTTTTGAAGGGCGAGATACTTCCCGGATGATACTTTTTTTGCCACTGGATCAGGTCCCTTACTGTACCTTACTACTCATCGCCTAGCAGGATTTTATGGGCATTGCAAAACCCGCATTTTAGACGTTCCATGGGCTCAAAAGCATAAATAAGCAAAAAATTATATTCAGTGGAAGACAAATAGTACTGGGAGAAGAAATGCGTAGAAAAGATTTCGCCAAACAAATGTGGTATTGGCTCAAATTGGCTGGGATTTCTCAAATTGTTCGTCATAGACTAAAGCTGCCCTTGAGCCGCGCCAAAAATCGCGCTCGATGTCAAAACGGCGGCTTCAATTTTTCTTTGGACAGCTCCAGAAGCCATGTCTAGCTGTAAAATAGACTTGGATTGTTGCATGGGAGTCCGTTTTACAGAGATTCTAGATGTACAAATGAAAATTTATTCCTTGTTGCTCGTCAATAAAGAAATCCTATCTGTGTTGCACTGATTTTACATAGTTGAAAGCTGTAAATACTTTCAAGGTTTTCCTAGGCCCACCAGCCATATGTTCTCTTTTCCCTGAAAAAACAACGACACACAGCCTTATCGTAAGGCCTCGGGTGCTTGTTTTCCTCAAAAAACATCTAGGCTGTTTATTATCTCAAGGTGTCTGAAGTCCTATGCCCGACCCTTGCTGTGGTAAAACACAAATTGTATCTTAAAAGTCACAAACTTGAAGTTTGGTTCCCAGAATCTATCGGACTTCCGATCTACAGAAAAAACGTTCGAGTCATTGTAACAAACCAAAAACGTTTCGAAAAAGCAAAAATACGTGACCCTACACTTGTGAGGAGGTCTATACTACCGTTAAAAACTTTTGTCAGATATTCTTCTACATTTTATTTTTATTGGCAAGTTTGTAATGATAATTTTTACTGTCTATGAGATTATTTATTCTACTACTCGGAAGATAAAGAGGAAAATACTCAAGCCGGAATACAAAGCAGTTATCTTCGATATGGGAGGGGTATACTTGAGATTCAAAGCGCCGGAGAAAATGGACAAGATGCTGAAGACGCGTAAGTCTTGTATATCCTATTTGCAGATTTAGAGTAAAATCTGCCCCATTTCGATGGTGCTGATTTCGATAATCATGTAAACTTTTGTGAAAACAGCAGTACTAGGCACCAGAAGAACGCCACTAACGCATAAAGTCCAAATTTTCAGCTCGTACTGTATAGTATCAGGTAGTGGTACTAAATAGGGCCAAGTCTTTAAAACGTGTTTTTGAAGAGTACTAAGCATCAAAACAACACCATCAACGTCGAAAGCCATATTTTCGCCTCGTACTACATAGTATAAGGGAAAAATTAACATGATTTTCAAAATCAGCACCATCAAAAACCCCTAAACCGAGTATTTATAAGAAAAATTTAAAAATGACTATTTTACAGTACTACTTAAGGGAAAAAGTAACAATCAAAAAAATGAAAGACATTTTCGAAATCAGCACCATCGATTATCTTATGTAATTTTAACATTTGCATCAAAGAACAATAATACTTTTCGATTTCACCAATCGTCCAACTCCGTTTCCGTCGGCCTAAATTTTAGCGAAGAGAATCTTTCTAACCAGTGCAAGGATTACCTCGATTTTCATACTATTGTTTTAGTGCCGTCCGAAGTGCTTCGAGAGATCCGTAGATACGAAATTGGCGACATCACCTTTCCGCAACTAATAGCCAATTTCGGCGGGACCTTGCCGGGCATGAAGCCGGGTGGAAAGACAGCTGATATTCTCGGTGATAAAGTATGTCATTATATCATTTTCTGTATGTCATTCTACGTTGCATTATCAGCAATATAAGACAAGTGATTGCAGGATGAAAACATTATAACGGCGATTGAGAAGTTGCGGGATCATGGTGGTTTGACAATCGGGCTATTAAGCAATGTGGGCTTCAGTGACGAGAACTTCTCCGAAACGGACGTTAGTAGGGTTGACAAAGGCCACTTTGACGTCATTGTGGAATCATGCAGGGTCAACTTGAGGAAGCCAGACCCTAGAATTTTTGTGGTAAGCGCATTTTGGCATGATGGTACAGTGGGGGGACCTGGTCCAATTGCAAAAAAAGTGCCATTTTGCATCCAGGAAGTGCCAAAAAATGTGGCCAAATACCTCCCTCTTCAAGTGAAAAAAACTCGGATTTCAAAAGCGCGCCCGTTCTTTTTGTGAGGAAAAAGAAGTTTTTTTCACTTGAAGAGGGAAGCATTTTGCCACATTTTGATACTTCCCGGAAACAAAATGGTACGTTTTTTGCCACTGGATCAGGTCCCCCACTGTATTATCTTTTTTTCCGTTTTTTAAAACCTATTCGTCCCTTTAGCTGACGGCAGAAAAAGTCGGCGTCACACCTGAAGAGTGTGTATTTCTTGACGACCTTTGGGCAAATTGTAAATCAGCAGAAGCCTGCGGGATGACTGCAATCGAGGTGGTCCGTGGAGACAGCAAAAGCGCAGTGAAGAAGCTGGAAAGGCTTTTGGGAAAAGAGTTATTATAAATGGAGTGATGTGACTGTAATAAAACTGTTTTTTTTTTCATTGCAAACCGAAATTGAAAATTAACAAAATAGAAGCATTAAGGCTTTGTAGAAGTACGTTGATGCATTAAGGCTTCGTTTCATCAATTACCACATACTGACGTCATCATGCCGCGTGTGATGCATAAAAAATTGAAAACACAGATTCTATTTTTAATCACAGGGCTTGTCTCATTTACGATCTATAAAAAGCGCTCGACCCATTGTAACAATCGCTTAACGTCCCGTCAAAATATTATTCGAAAGGTGAAAAGGGATTTTAAAGCGACGCCTTAGAATTATTGAAAGCCTTCTAAAATTTCCTTGGAATTGGCCGCTATTTTATTATGCTTATTTTTACTGTCTATGAGATCTTTTACTCCACTACTCGAAAGGTAAAAAGATGGATATTCAAGCCGCATTATAAAGCCGTTATCTTTGACATGGGCGGTGTATATTTGAGATACAAGGATCCGGAAAGGGTCGACAGGATGTTGAAAAGCGGTGAGTTTGAAACGAATAACAGGGCTGCACTATCAGCAATACAATACCGATTTTACCGTCATTTGTCTGCTATAGACCCTTTGTTATCTCACAGTTTGTTAGATAACAAAACGGGTAAAAAGTTTCACGGTATTAAGATTTACATCGCTCTTTTAGCATCACCACATGCCGCCGGTGAACTACGGAGATACGAACTTGGAGAGATTACTTCTAAACAAATGATCGCAGCTTTTCGTGCACAGCTAGGTTCCCTAAAATCGGCTGGAGGAGTGTCGGATGTAATCGCTGCAAAAGTAAGCATCGATATTTTATACCTTCCTTGTCAATTTTACATGTTCTACCAGCTACAGTGGGGGACCTGATCCAGTGGCAAAAACGTCCCATTATGCATCCGGGAAGTATTTAAAATGTGACAAAAACCCCACACTCTAAGCGAAAAATGCGACCTTCGAAACGAATTTTTCTCACTTGGAAAAGGAGGCATTTTGCCACATTTTTTGATGTTTCCCGGACGCAAAATGGCACGTTTTTTGCCACTGGGTCGGGTCCGTCATTGTAAATCCTTTACCATTTCAACTGTTAAAACATGAACCTGCTCTTTCAGGACGCAAACATTATACAGGCAATCGAAAAGCTTCGAGATGGCGGATATACGGTTGGCCTTCTTACGAACGTCGGCTACAGCGATGAGAGCTTCTCCGAAACGGATGTAAGAGGCATAGACAAAAGTCATTTTGATGTGATTGTGGAGTCATGCAAGGTGAAGCTGCGCAAACCCGATCCTAGAATTTTTATGGTAAGTCATTCTCTTTGTTATTTCTTGCCGTAATATTTCATTTTTTTAACAAATCTTCTTTGTTAGCTAACCGCGGAAAAGGTTGGCGCCGCGCCTGAGGAATGCATATTTCTCGACGACCTCTGGGCAAATTGCAAATCAGCTGAGGCCTGTGGAATGACTGCAATTGAGGTGGTCCGTGGAGACACACAAACCGCAGTGAAGACGTTGGAAGGGCTCTTGGGGAAGCAGTTGTCATAAATAAACACGTTTTAATGTGATTGTAATAAAACTGATGTTTTTCGGTTTCGATTCTTTTTCTTTTTTGACGTCGATATCCAACACAAAACACAACAATCAAAGATTTCTCTTTGCTCTTACGTATTATATTAGAGTTTTTTCCGTTGCAAAGGTCAAATGGACTTTTTCTCTCCTAAAAAGAAGAAAGGCTCACCTCAAAGGTAAACTCAATTAGATTTTACAGTAAAAGTTTCTTTTTTTTACAACTTTCAACGCACTAGCATTTTTCACTCCCGAAATTATTCACTTTGATGGTGGTCTTCACTATTTATGACCTTCTTTATTCAACAGCACGTGGCTTGAAAAGAAGGATATGGAAGCCGGATTACAAGGCTGTGATCTTTGATATGGGCGGGGTTTATTACAAATACCCTGTGCCAAAGAGAGCTGACGATGTGTTGAAGTCGGGTAGGACGTGATGATTCTGATACGACGTTCTAAATTTAAATATCTTAGAAAAGGATGTGTTCTTGTCGGCATTGAAGCAATATGAGCTTGGAGACATTGCGTTCCCAAAATTGTTTGAGGCAGCGGTACAGAAGTTTGATTTTTTAAAAGGAATGGAGCCGAGAGAGTGGCTAAAAAGGATACTTGGAGAAAAGGTAAGACGAAACGGAATACAGTGGGGACCTAATCCAGTGGAAAAAAACGTACCATTTTGCATGCGGGAAGTATCAAAAATGTGGCAAAATACTGCCTTCTCCAAGTGAAAAAACTTCGTTTTGAAGGCCCTTTTGAAATAGGAGTTTTTTCACTTGGAGAGGAAGGTATTTTGCTGCATTTTTGATACTTCCCGGATGCAAAATGGTACGTTTTTGGCCAATGGTTCAGGTGCGCCACCGTAAACTGATTGTTTTTGTTTTGTGTTACACGTCTGTTTAGTCAGTTTTGACAAGCCAAAAAAACCTTTTTTAATTGACTATCCAGCCTACAAAAGTCATCAAAATTCCAATCTTCAGAGATTCACGCCCTTAAAAAAACCAAATGCTAAATTTTAATAATTATTTATCGATATCTTCTTTTGCAACACGAGGGTTTTTAAGGATCCATTCATTACAAAAGCGGTTCAAAAACTGAAGGAATCTGGCCAATTCAAAGTAGCATTGCTCACAAATATTGGATTCAGCGATGACAGTCGTTCGAAAACGGATGTCCCAGAGGATATTGATCAGTTTGACGCGATTATTGAGTCCTGCAGATATCGGTTGAGAAAACCTGATGAAGAAATTTACAAGGTAAAAATTTGTAGTGTGAACTACAGTGGGGTCCTGATCCAGTGGCAAAAAACGTACCATTTTGCATCCAGGAAAACTATCAAAAATGTGGCAAAATGCTTCCCTCTCCAAGTCAAAACACTACGATTTCAAAAGCGCGCGCCCTTCAAAACGAAGTTTCTTCACTTGGAGAGAGAAGCATTTTGCCACACTTTTGATGCTTCCCTGATGCATAATGGTACCTTTTTTGTCACTGGATCGGATCCGTCACTGTAACGGTCTAATAAACATTATAATTCCAGAATTCTGAAGCTTCCATTGCTTTCAGGTCGCCGCCAAAGAACTGGATCTGAAGCCGGAAGAATGCATTTTTGTCGATGACTTATGGATCAACTGCAGAGTCGCGGACCTTGTCGGAATGACGTCCGTAGAAGTTGTCGTTGGAGATACAAAAACAGCGGTTAGAAAGATTGAGAACTTACTTGGCGTACCTTTGCTCGAATAAAAATAAAAAATAAAGTATTCTGAGATATATGTAAAAACCTTGTGTTGAAGGCCAGAAAAACTATGAAATATAGTGACGGACCCGATCCAGTGGCAAAAAACGTACCATTTTACATCCGGGAAGCATCAAAAATGTGGCAAAATGCTTCCGTTTCCGAGTGAAAAGACTTTCTTTTGGAGGGCGCACCCTTTCCCTCACAAAAAGATGGATTTTGTATGTGCCACGGGCTTGTTAAAATTCCAGAAAAAAAATCTTTGAAGACATGATTTATTTCCATTATTTCTGGTTTCAAATTATGACTAGTGGTTGTGCTGATGTTCCATCTACGTCCGGAAAAGATGATGCACACCAGAATGACAATTCTAATCAGGAAAAAATTGATTATTATCGTAAACCAGGGATAGAAAATGAGCAACGAATTCAGCCGCTTCCAGAAAATGTTTCCATCACAATTTTTTACGTGGTAAGCGGTAAGTCAAGTTCAAATGTGTTTGGAGTGGAATTGTCTTCCGTTCGTTGTGACTAGCTGTATTTTGAGGGTGTGTCGGTTTGTGGCTTTCTTTTTATCGGCGATATTTGTGATCATGTCGAATAAATCTTTAAGTCAGGTTCGCCCTCTGAGATTTATGCGAGCCTTTGAGCGGCGTTTGACCGAAGTGGGCTAGAGTTCTCATAGTCAAAAAGCTGTGGTTTTGGCTGGATCGTGTGCCAACAAGTCAGCGGGGCGTTCTCATGGGAAGGTTCTATTTTTCTACCTATACAGTGGGGACCTAATCCAGTGGCAAAAAACGAACTTCTGCATCCGGGAAGTAGCAAAAAATATGGTAAAATGCATCCCTCTCTAGCCAAAAAAAATCTGTTTTGAAGGGCGCGCCCTTTCCCCTACCAAAAGAGCGAGCGCGCTTTTGAAATCTGAGTTTTTTCACATGAAGAGGGAGGTATTTTGCCACATTTTTGATACTTCCTGAATGCAAAATGGTACGTTTGATCTGAGGTTACCATGCGAAATTGAGAATGGCCTTAACGAAGCCTCTTTTCTTACGGCCCTTGATCATCGCTTTTACTACAATTACAGTTGAATACAACCGCTGGAATAGTGAAAACTAGTCTAGAAACTTTACAGATTTTGATATGCCCCCTTTCAAATATTTTTTAAAAAATTTTTGGAGTTTCTGCAAATTTTTTCTCAATCTTCCCGATTTTACCCCCAAAAAATGAACCTCACAGACAAAATTCTGTCATTCTTTATCACCCCAAATTTTCTCCTTTTTATCTGCACTTCCTCCTCCTCCACCCGAATAAGTCCTAATCAACGCCTTTTTTGGAAAATTCAAACGGCGGGGAAAATAAATTGCCCCAGGGTCGAAGACTAATGTGAAGGGAATTTTCAGGCTCTGGCTGTTCTTTTCCTCTCCCCGAACGCGTTTGATCTTTTTCTGTGAATATTTTATGCGAGAGCCCCACCAAAACTAATATTGTTTGAGTTGCGGCTTATTGGAAATGACAGTTTTCTGGAGGGAAAAAAAAGTGCGAAAGGAGATTGGATTTTGTGGATAATATACTTTTCTTTACGTTTCTGTGAGAATAACGGGTATATAACGATTGGTTTCTTAGAAAGATACAGATTTTAGAGGTATGGATGAAGATAAGCTTATGAGAGTAAATTTTAATACGTTTTTTTGTCATTTCATTTAGTTTCCATGTCATATTTCACAGTCAAGTGCATTTAAAAGGGGTAAAATATTCGTTATCAGTCTTGGAGGAAATTTTTTGCGATTGATAGGCAATCAATTCCCCCTTTTTTTACAAATTTTGCGTCACACAATTCAACGATCTTTTTAACGATTTGACAAAAAAAGAACACTCTGTAGACGTTTATGCTACAGGAATTACAGCACATCCCGTATATCCTAATGCATTTTTTGCTTGAGTAAAATACGAGCCGATCAGATTCAGGATGTTAATTTGTGGGTCATGTTTGAGACAAGACTGTTCAAAAGGCATAAAAGATGCGTTATCAGTGGCTGGAAATTTTTGAAAATTGAATATAAAAAAAACAAAAAAAATCTTATGATAAAATATAAATTTTTTTCGATTTTCAACAATATTATTTGGTGAGAGCGCTCATATTTAAAAAAAAATTCTTTAATAACTTTTCGAGTGATACTCCATTGCGGTACACTTTATTCCCTGATCTTTGTCCGATTTATTCCGTGATTTTTATCTTCTTTACGTTTCCCAATACAAAATTTCCCTCGTTTTACAGGCCGTATAATCGTTGGGTTTATGTTAATCATGGCTTAAAAAAGTTGTCGGATCCACAAACTTTCTGTTTATTCACACGTCGCATTCGTGTAGATCATTTGTTGTGATCGTACTGCGCCGTTTCACTGACTAAATTTGAAAAAATGTGCAAACTCAGCGAAATTGATGGAAATTCCGAAGATTCAGAGGGTAAGCGATCAAAATCGCATGCAAAAATTAGCATTTGGCTTTGCGAAATACGTCAGGTTACATACAGTTTATTTTTTAGGTCGGATGACATACGAAGTTGAAGTGGAATCCAATTCTCATAACAATCGTTTTTATGAACTGAGGAATCGAAGTGTAAGTCATTTTTTGTCTGTTTTTCGATCCGAAAATACTTAAAAAATTGTTAGAAGTGATCAAACTTTCAAAAATAACTTTTCCGGATCATGATCCGCGGATCAACTATGATGATTTTCGGACTTTGTGACATTTCGTCCAATTTTTCGACGAAATGCCAATAATAATATTTTTGTCGCAACGCTCGGCGGATTATGGTTTTGTTGGTGGATAAACGTCTTCCTGCTTACAGAATTGATCTTTTTCTTTTTATTTTTACCACCTTCGCCATCTTTTAACCTTTTTCCGGCCAAGAAATGTCAATTTCATGCAATTTTTTTCGAAAAACCCTTTACTTTCAGCTAAATGCCCTCCACGACATTCTCCACAGCCACTCGCAGGCCGATGCTCTCGAATTTTGTGTCAGCTCCTACGACGATGCCAAGAAAAAATCCAAATACCATTGGAAGGAGGGGTAAGTTGTTTTAACTTGAATTTTTATATTGCAGTAGGTTGAATTGATGGATTTCGGAATTTTTCAGCGATCTCAAGTTGGATATGTTGATTTTTGGGCGCGTTGCAAGCCTGAGGAGGCTATGTTTGCACATGAACAACATGATGGGAGTTACTTTGTCGCAGCCATTTCAATTTGGAATTAGCGTGAGTTTTTGGTGGGTTGGCAAGGATAAGGTAGTAGGCCGATGAAACCGGGAGGTTTTGTGCTTGATAGGTTCTACTGAGCTTGTTTGAGGGAATGAACAGGAACTTGTACTGGTCTTATGAACTGAAAAAGCTTTTTTGACAAATTTTTCGCAAAATTTTTCTTTGATCACAAGTATAATGTATTTTTTAGTAAATTCATATAGAAAACTTGGTTCTTTTTAATTCAAGTTGAAGCCTTGAGAAGGCTAAAGCTTATTTAACCATTTTTTATATTACTCTTGATCTCCTCCTCAAATTTTTACTTTTTTCTTCAGGAACTGGCCTTGTTCGATGTGGACATGACTTTCTACTCCTTTTCAATGCTTATCCGCTCTGTTGGTCAAAGCATTCAGCATCTCTGCCTTCACAATGTCAAAATAATCAACGAAAATCATCATTCCGACTGCGTTCCATCCGATTTCAATTATCTAAAGGAGCTGGAAAGAGTCCGAAATCTGGAGACGTTGCGGGTAGACTGTGACTTCCAAGATATTGCTCATGTTATAAAAACTCGACTGGCAAAACCTTTGGAATCTTTGTTTGTAAAAACCGCGGATATTGTTCAACTTCACGATTTTGAAGGAGTTATCGCCAAGAATATTTATGTCAAGGAGCTTTATTACAAAGGGAAAAGATATGGAAATGATGCGAGTAGAGAACTTCAGATGGCAGTGGAAGATTGGCGGAGGAAGATGAAGACGAGAGAAGTGACTTGTAGAGTTGTTTTGGGTACACCAAAGGTAAATATTTTGTTTTTCGAATGCATTTTTTAGATTTAGATACCTAAAATTCTTGAAAAGAGTCTTATTTCTGCCTTTTCGTCTTCAAAGTCGTAGAAAAGTCTTAAAACTAAAATTGAAAATAGTCCTAGTTGTCACTAAGGGAATATTTTACAGTTTGCAAATACTTTTAAAATAGTTTACAGCCCAAAAATTGACATTTTTTGCCGGAAATGCCTTTCATTTTTATCGGAAACGTCCTTCCAAAAAGACGAAAGGAAAAACAAAAAGAAACCCGGATGTGGCCGCGTGGCGCAATGGATAACGCGTCGGTCTACGGAACCGAAGATTGTAGGTTCGAATCCTGCCGTGGTCGAAAGCATTTTTTATTACTTTTTCCGATGTTTGGAGATGAAAATTGGTTTTCGAATAGTAATACGTACTTTTAGAAGTAGTAATAATAATTTTTCAGAGTTGGAGCCCCTCATCCCATCAAACTCCCATCCGTCAGCTGGCTCAATTGGGCAAAGTGCAGCTATGTTTACTGGTGACTGATGAAGAATTCCCCAACGACACACTCATTGAGACTGTTATGAAGATGTATATCTAGTCAAAAAATCAGAAATTTCATTTGACTGACTGCGGAATAAATTTTATTTCGATTTTTTTGAGCTTTTCAAAAATTTGCATAAATTCCAAAAAAAGTTGGCTGAAAGGTCGCAAATTCGCGTCATTTCATTTGTGTCCATCAGCTGGCGGTCGGCAGACAGTTTGTAGCGAGCAGTCAACGTTTCAACGGGCAACTTTAAACAAGAAAGTTTGTTGTGCCGGGAAAAAGAACAGGTAAAATGCTGGGATTGGTCGAGAAAATCGGAGTTTGGGGAAATCGAAAAGTATTTTTTTTTTCTTCGATGCAATGTCGAAATTAGGATAATCGAGGGTGCTGGGTTCGAAATGACATTCATTTTTTTTTGAGTGTTACTTTTTTCCTTCAGTAGTACTGTAAAATAGTAATTTTTTGAAAATTTTCTAAAAACACTGGGTTTAGGGGTTTTCGAAGGTGCCTGTTTCGAAAATCATGTTAATTTTTCCTCTAGTACTAAATAGTACTATCTGATACTATTTAGTACGAGGTGAAAATATGGCTTTTGATGGTGTTGTTTTGATGCTTAGTACTCTTCAAAAAAAACGTTTTAAAGACTTGGTGCTATTTAGTATTATCTGATACTATATAGTACGAGGTGAAAATAGGAGTACTAAGCATCAAAACAAGACCATCAACGTCAAAAGCCATATTTTCACCTCGTACTACATAGTATCAAATAGTACTATTTAGTACTAGGGGAAAAGTTAACACGACTTTCGAAACCAGCACCTTCGAAAACCCCTAAATACAGTATTTTTGGAAAATTTTCAAAATATTATTATTTTACAGTAGTACTGAAGGAAAAAAGTAACAACCGAAAAAATGAATGTCATTTTTGAAATCAGCACCCTCGATTATCCTAATTTCGACATTTGCATCGAAGAAAAGTATTATAATACCTTTCGGTTTCCCCAATCGTCCCAGTTTCCCTAGAGCATGCCGAAAAGATATTTGCAGAATGTCGGATGTGATCGGAAAGGCATGGCAGACCGCGATGTTCGACGTCGCCATCTACCCGCTGACTTGGGCGCGCACTTTGATCGAGCTGGGCTACGAGCCGTTCCCGTTGGAGCGCTCGAATTTCAAGATTTTGTGCGGATGTCGGACCCTTTTTCTCCCCAATTTTTATTCGTACAGTAAGCTTGGAGAATGCCCTTTGAATTCTGGGGCCTTTTTTGGTATAAGGGTGACGAAATAGAAGCGATTTTTCCTCGAAAATGACCGTAATTTAGTCTACAAGTCCGCCGAGAAAGATGGAGTCATGGTTTTGTATCGTGGAGTGGAAGCGTGCGCGCTGCGGACATTTGTCTTCATCTTGGTCACCGACTCGGTTTTCAAGGTGAGTCTTCGCAATTTTAATCGCAATTTTTTGTCTTGGGACTGATCAACAAAAGTTTAGCTGATTTTTTAATTCAAAAATTTTTTTAGTATGACGAATCTTTCCAGAAAAATTAAATTTTTGATTTTCTTATTGTCTATTGTATATCTAGATGGTCAAAAAAAATGGCTGGTATGGTTTATAATCTCTCTTTTATTTTCCAGTACATCCGTAAATACCTTCCCAACCTTGGCGGAGAGCCAGTTCGGCCTTGCGTGAAGGAGCATGAACTCACCACTTATGAGAGCTTCCGAAGACGCTTCAGGACCTTGATCCGACAGACTGCCATCCAAACCATCGCTGTCGTCGCTACTCAGCCATTTTTGGGTAAAAATTTTTTGAATATGCAAATTTTTGAGTTTATAAAAATTTATGGAAATTTTGGAAAAATGCAGAGCATATGGTATTTTGATGATTTTCGGGTAAAAATTGTGTACTTTTGAGATGTTTTTAATATAAATAGAAATTAAAATTTTTACTTTTTCAAAAAAATTTTTTCAATTTTCGAAAAATTTTTTGAAGATTTTTTACACATATATTTTCAGTATGTATGGTGCGCGAAGTTGCTCAGCACATTGGCAAAGAGACGTTGTATGGGCCGGTTCACGTGACTCTGATGAAAATTGCCGATTCCGAAGGCATCCCAGGCCTTTTCTCCGGCATTATTCCCACTCTTTTGGCCAGTTACTTTTGTAATTGGGGTCTGGGCGCGGTGGGGTTCGTTCTGGACAGATTTGTCTGGCCCAAAATGAAGATGGTGAGGGAAAAAAATAATAATAAAAAAAAATTTTTTTTTGATTTTTCAGGATTTTTGGTATATAAAAAATTTTTTTTGATTTTTTCTGATTTTTGGTATATTAAAAAAAATTTTTTTGATTTTTCCGGATTTTTGGTATATTTAAAAAAAATTTTTTTTTGATTTTTCCGGATTTTTGGTATACAAAAAAATTTTTTTTTGATTTTTCAAAATTTTTGATATATTTTTTAGGTGATTTTTGACTTTTTGGATCGATTTTTTGATTTTTTTTATATATTTTAAATATTTTTAATTATTTTTAAATCGTATTTTAGTTCGATCCAGCCGATCCACTCTCCGTTTTGCGCCCAAAATCCTTGGCCACGATTGCGCTGGACAAGTTTGTAATCCAGCCCGGAGGGCAGAGATACAGAAATGTCTCCAGAATGATGTGTGTGGCTGGAACTGGGTAAGAAATTTGGTTTTTTTGCGTATTTTGTGATGTTAGGGCGGATATTGAAATTGAATTTTCAAAGATGTAATGTTTGGGAGATGTACCATCAATATTTTACTTGTAAAAAATTAAATTTTTTATTTTTCTTTGGCTTGAAAATCCGATTTTTTTTCTGATTTTTAAAAATCGAATTTTAATTTCCAAAAAAAATTCAAAAAAAATGAGATTTTTTGAAAAAAAAAATTTTTGCGGCCCATCACTTTACAGTGACGGACCTGGTCCAGTGGCAAAAAATTTACCAATTTGCTTATAGGAAGTGTCGAAAAATACGGCAAAATGCCTCCCTCTCCAACGAAAAAACTTCGTTTTGAACCGCGCGCCCTTTTTCCCTCGCAAAAAGAGCGCTTTTGAAAACGATGTTTTTTCACTTGGAAATGGAGGTATTTTGCCACATTTTTCGACACTTCCCGGATGCAAAATGGTGTACTTTTTGCCACTGGATCAGGTTCGCCACTGTAAGATGATAGACCATAATTTTTTTTTTTCAAAAAATCTTATTTTTTTTTGTTATTTTTTTTGGAAATTAAGATTCGATTTTTAGAAGAAAAAAACCCGTTTTTCCAGTATTGGTCATCAGAGAACACCCAGATTTTAAAGCCAAAAAATAAAAAAAAATTTTTTTTACAAGGAAAATATTGATGGAAATTTTCAAACATCACATTTTTGAAAATTTCAAATTTCAATATCCGCCCTGAGACCATAATTTTTTTTTCAAAAATTCTCTTTTTTATTTTTTTGGAAATTAAAATTCGATTTTGAGAAAAAAATCACGTTTTTTTACCCATATTTTAAAGCCAAAAAATAAAAAAAATTAAATTTTTTACCAGCAAAATACTCCTGGTACATCTCCCAAACATCACATTTTTGAAAATTTCAATTTCAATATCCGCCCTGAGACCATAAAAATTTTTTTTTTTCAAAAAATCTCATTTTTTTGGACCATGTCCGCTACTGTAATTATTTTTAGCCTGAAGGTGTCGAATCCCCCCTTCGCCATTCCGTTTTGCCACTGGACGGACGCGTTCAAGTTCCTGAGACAGGAACATCAGCTCGGCCGAGGGAACAGCAGCTTCTTCCGAGTCCATTACGGCGCCATTTACACTTGCCCCACCACCAAGCATCTCTTCGCCACCACCTCTTTACATAACTAGGTCCTAAAGTATGCGAATAAGTAAAGAATTGTGTAAAAAGAAAATTGAATATGAGATGAAGGATAAATTATTCTAATTTCTGGTCGGATGCTTTTTCTATGGATCTGACGTTATGGAAAAGGAATAAATTGCGAAGGCGTGAGGCGCAGGTGCTCGTGCAAGCACAGTAAAGGTATTTATAAACGGGATTTTCGTTAAATTCCCTGAAATTGAAATGTTTTTGGGGACGGAGAATGTTGCGGTTTTTTGGAAAGTTTTTGGGTATGTTGAGGCGAGTGGAATACGGTAATATCCAGTGAGCATGGGCCACATAGAATTTACTGAAAAGTCTAGACCAAGATTTGAATGTTTCGCCGAAGTCCGGGCGAGCCAAAAACACATGTTTTCGCACCGTGCGGACGCACGAATTCGGCGTTGCGACGAGGTGTCGCGCGATAAAAGTTTGGCGGGGTGCGAAAAGAGAGCGCACTGTGCGTTCGGTTGGCCTTTTCAAAACAATTTTTTGCACTGTGCGGCGTCGCAGTGCACCGTGAGTTTCACTCGTCGCCGCGCGACAAGTTTGTTGCGCGACGGCGTCTTGACATGTCTGCACAGTGCGCTGTCGCGCATGAGATTTGTCGCGCGGCGACAAGAAAAATTTAGGGTGCAATGCGACCCCGCACAGTGAAAAAAGGGTGTTTTGAAAAGGGTAAACAACGCACAGTGCGTTCGTCATTCGCACCCCGCCAAATTTTTATCGCGCGAAACCTCGTCGCAACGCCGAATTCATGCGTCCGCGCGGTGCGAAAACATGTCAAGACACTTTGTGACTCGCCTAATCTCATTCTGTCGGGAAAATAATGAGCACAATATCGCATTGAAAATCGTACCGCTGTGGAGGAAAAAAATGTATCGCGGAAAAATCAAATCGCTTTTAATACTTCAGCGACGTGATCGGGGAGTAGCGAAATTGTGCTCATTATTTTCCCGACAGACTGACACGACTGAAGGAACGGGTAAATTACGGTATCGGATCGTCATTGTCATCATTTGCATACCATTTAGATAAATAAACCACGATTGCTACGGAGGCTGGGAAAGCCCCAAGGCCATATCCATATTTGTCGGAAAATATAAACAAAATTTGCATAATTTCTGGTCTCTCTTTATGGCGTCTGCGCATAATAACACAGCCGTCTAAACCCTTTGCAATTATTATTTTAATCATTATTATAATCATCGTAAGGCGTCTAATACGGGCTCCTTTTTCGATTAGAACTCTTATTACGTTCATTGCGCGGTTAAGTTTATTTAAGATACGAATAAAAAGCCGAAAATTATCGCGCTCCTCCGCATACCGTGAAGCAATTTGGAGCCTAATCGGATCATGCATAGTTACGTTTCGAAAACAACTATTATTGTCCGTAATTGTAGCCTACATCACAACCCCCACATCAGCATTCAATTCCCGGAGATAATTCGGTTATAACGAGTAGCGAATGGTTCGAGCATTAAACTGGTCTAGTCTGTGCTGGATGGGTTTAGCATTGGGCGTTAAATGACGGGAAGGGAGAAAGCTTCTTTGACCGGGGAAGTGCTTAAAGTGTGGTGTGTTGTGCAGATTTTGATGGAACTTGGCTCACTGGGAAAGTACCCCATATGCAAAGCTCAGAATCTTTTAAAATTTAGCGCACAGGTCGGGGACGAACTTTATATCAATTCCTAAAAGTTTTAGCTAGCGCTTTCCAAGCGCCGCCGAGATATTGAACGATCTTTGCCGCCGAGAGAGTACGCTAAACGCGGAGAGCAGTCAGAGAGAAAAACACTTTTTGATCATAACTTCGCTAGTTTCGCGCGGAAAAAATGATTTTTTATGGAAATATTACCCTTACGTGGTAGAAATTGGCATGAATCTTTTCGTGCCGAAGTTCGGCAAAAATTGGCGAATTTTCGCCGACTTTCGATCTTAAAATCTCGGTTGTTTCTACAAAGCGCGAGCTAGGATTCTCGCATGTGTTTTAGTAGAAGTTATTTTAAATTTGTGCCAAGTTTCATCAAAACCTGAGCGTCGCACTTGGGGTACTTCCCCTGTAAAAATCAAGGCATTTAGCGCGAAATTGGTAGTATCATAGCCAAAAGCGATTTGTCCTGTGTTCGATCTTCACATTTGGCACTCTTTCTCTCTCTCGTCGGCAAAGATTTGAACATTTCGGCTGAAAAGCGAGGGCTAAAATCTCTGCGAATTGATATGCGATCTGGCCCATTAGGTATGTGCAAAATAAAAAGTCTGAGCATTGCCCTTTGACGCCTTTTGTAAGAAGCTGTCCAAGGTCAAAATCTAGAAAATTCATGAGTGAATACGATGATTTCTTATGTGGTTTAGCCAGGTGGTACGTTTGTCGTGAATGATTTAGAGGTACGATATTCCAATCTCATTTGTTTTCGAAATTTCAAAGTGCATTATTTCAGAGGTTTAACCCTGTGAAAGTTATTCTAAGCTGTTAAAATTTCTTACGAAATTCACTTTTTTCCTACTGTACGTAAACAAGTTACGCGTTGTTTTGCGCAACTCATTATAATCAAATTTCCAGCTGTTTAATTCGGTAATTGAAAACGGTTTATACATTTAATATAATCACGTCACAAAGGTCAAGCTAGACTTTTCTTTTCCCTATTTTTGTGTTATTGTTATTTTGGGAGCATGCATGCTACTGCCGGGAATAGCGCTTATTGTGGGGCCGGAATTTTATAGCAATTTCGAGTTTTTTTTTGGGAAGGAGCAGAAATCAAAGGCCAAAAACTGACGAGGAATAATAGGAACAAAAGAAAAAGTTACTGTGTAGCCTCCAGACATGTCTGGAGGGCCGGGATTTTGGCAATTTGGAAATTTAAGGCGTCCAGGCCTCGCCAAGTTCGGCTCGGTTCTTTACGAAATTTCAAAGCCCGATCGGCCCATTGAGATCTATAACTTTCCCGCACTTAAAAAAAATTTTTTTGAATAATTTTAAATTTCAAGTTTCCCGCCATTTTGTATATAACTTGGCTAGTTTCGTGCGGGAAAAAATCATTTTTTGTGTAAACATTACCCTCTATGTGCTTTTTGGCTCCATGTGGGCTGTCAAATTGCAAACCCCAAATTGAATAAACCTTGTCATTCTGCTAAAATACGGCCAAAGTGAAAAAAATATGAAATTAAAAAAATGTGGCCAAACTGAAAAAAAAATATTGGCGTTTGGCCAAATTGAAAAAATCTTTATTTGGCCACATTTTTTCATTTTGGCCAAACGCTTTTCCCGCTTGGTCACATTTTTTTCACGGTTGCAAAATTTTTTTCAGATTTGGCCAAATTTTTTTTAATTTGGCCATATTTTTGCACCATGCCCATAATTTGTTCGATTTGGTCAGATTATGTGATCTTGGGGGGTTCATTCTCCTAACGGGGGCAACAGGACCTTTATAGCGATCGATTTTAAAGACTATGAAAAAGTCCTAGTAAATCGACACAGCTTTGCTTTAGTCATCATTTAAAAAACATCTTCCTTCACGTCCTTTTGAGGTAAAATCTGTTTTCTCAACTACTATAATAAATACATGCAATTTACCGGGCGCTAGCAGGGCATATGGCGGATTTGTTCGCTTTTTCTGCAAAAATATGTCGCTTCATTTTCCAGAGATCACTATATGATGCCATTTTGGCTGCGATAATGCAAGCCTCTTATAATGTTAGAAGTAGATGTTATGCAGTTCATCAGCCATTTTGATCGGCTTAAATCAACAGAGACTCAATAAGACGGCTTGATGGCGAAATTTTGAACACATTTATCACACATTCCCGATAAGTCGGTTAGATTTTGATCTCGACGGCTAACAAGGAAGCCAGACGGACTTGTTGTTGGACCGAAGATCCTTTAGTTTAAAGCTAAGTATAAAAGCAAAGGATCTTCGAGGCCTTTGCATTATTGTGAATTTGATATCATACTGTAGGTTATCCGTTGGTTCTTGATAGTTCACTTTGTTCCTTTCACTCAGTAAATCGTATTGAGGAGAAGTCTTCGAAGCCTTTGCTTTATCGCTAATTTGACGTCATACCGTTGGTTCATGATAGTTCATTTTCACTACATAGAATGCTGATATACAGTGAAGGACCTGATCCAGTGGCAAAAAACGTACCATTTTGCATCCGGGAAGCATTAAAAATGTGGTAAAATGCTTCCCTCTCCAAGTGAAAAAACTCAGATTTCAAAAGCGCGCCCGCTCTCTTTGTGAGGAGCCGTTCAAAACGAAGTTTTTTCACTTACAAGGGCTCGGCAAAACCTCGTCCCCTGGTTTTTTTGAAACATATACCATTTGAAAGAGCGTAAAAAACTGGTCTAGAAGCGACTTTTATTAGCTGCTATTACCCACTTACGCGCTGGCTAGCGAGAATTTTTTAGTTCTAGGCTAGTCTCACGCTTCATTTGAGAAAACAAACGCGATCGGTTTTAAAAGCAAACCGAAGCAGTGCTTCGGTGGCCTAGTGGGGAAAGGCGCTGCTCAAGGACCTGCGAAGCGGGTTTTGAACGCCTCTTTTGAATTTTTTAATTTTTCTGGCTAATATGGAACAAATAGAGTCAGAAAGTTATGTTTAATTTTTGACTAGACTTTTGTGTATACTCAGGTCCATTTTAAAAGAAAAAACTACAACTTTTTCGTTTTTTTTTTATTTTGGCCTCTTTGACCTTGTAGTGGGACATCCTGGGTGGTTGAAACTTTCGAAGGCTTTCATATTTTTACTAGGAATGCCCGCTAACGGAAAGTACGTAAAAATTGAGTCTGAAAACATCATACATGTTTGGAACATCTTCGTTTGTCTTGAGTTACAGGACCTAAAACATCGCGCAATCACTCATTGAGTACATCAACCTGAATGTCTCAAACTCAGAAAACCTTTTGTTTTTTTTTGACATAGGTTGAAGCTTCAACCTCATAAATGACTAATATTTATATGAAAAGTGATTATTCGATCTCGTTCACGTCTCAGA